GAGAAGAAGAAGAAGAAGAAGAAGAAGAAGAAGAGAGAGAGAAAAAGAGAGAGAGAAGAAAAAGAGCTCTGCTATATTCCCTGCGCTCCCTATTGCAATCATCAATATAGATTAGGTACTGTTCAGTTGACCCAGCAAGTGAGAATCTCTTGTCGTTCATAGGCACTGATAACAACTCAAGCACTTCTGCACCATGTCGGTAATGGCGAGCTGCTTTGGGCACAAGCAAATGGCTCAGATGCAGCATCATACGCGTTGGCGAGATTGCCTGGCTCTGACTCCTTGCGATCAAGGGAATTTGTCACATCTGTTCATGGGATTGTAATGAAGGAGACAGAACAACCTGTGATTCAGTCATGACACAAGCTCCCACTGAACTTTTGCTTCGTGTCCTGCTTTAGAACCTATTTTCGTAGACATTTGAATTCTCCGGTGAGCTCACCTGTGTGTCATCAAGATCTGTTGGACAACACACAATGGCGTGGCCATGTTCCTTGCCATCGCAGGGAACCTTGACAGCTATCGGGCCATGTGCTGACAATGACAGACCTACAGACCAGGTTACCCGTCAAGATTACATTATTCAAATTCGTGCCGGCTATCCATATTGCTATTGCGCACTTTGTTTGATAGGTTCATGGCAAACCATATCGTTGGAGGCGAGGTATCTCCCAGACATGGGGGCTTTGTTGGCGACCACGCAGCCAGTCCACTTTCACCCAGTTCCTTTTGTGCATGGAAATTAGACATCAAATTGCAAGCATTACTGGACAAAGATGAATGATATCTTTGATGCATACCGAAATCTTTTGAACTTGATGCAATCCTATATAAAGGTGGTGGTTAGTTGCAGTTGTTTGCTACTTTCATCGAAGTACATACATACTCTTGTAGGTACAACCTCAATCATACCCACAACGAGAAAAGCAGATGAAATCACAGTGGCAGGACTTTGATGGGAACATTATGCTATATATTCGAGACATACTGTTCGTGATTGACTCAAAACTGAATGTCTCAGGTTTTGTACATAATTTTACCTCGTCGGTCCGGCGCCGCGACTTTTCCTTAGTTATCTGCCGTCCTTGAGGTCCTCAAGGTGCCCGTCCAGCCTTGGAGTCATCAAAAGTAGGGACACTGCAAGTACCTAGGCCTTGGTGACGTATGTGTAGTGTCGGGTTGGTCAAAGTCGTTCTTTCCTTGCCCTCATCTTGGGTTGAAGGAAAACAACAGCCAAAGCCTCCCGGTCTTCTAGTCCGAGGCCAAACACAATCACACATCACAAAACAACATCATACAGTTCAAACATCATCCTCACGATATTCGTACACGTCTATCACCCACCCATGTATGACGAATCATTTGCTATTCATCTGCAACACCATGGAGAAAATTCCTAGTACAGAGGGCGCCTTGTCTGCCCCAGGCAGACGCCACTACCAATACTCTACCTTGACTGATGCACCAGTCAACATCAATCAAATGGGAAACCCTGTCTGGCTAAACAAGGCTACATTCCGTCAGCTCGCAGAAGGCGCCCTGAACAACGGTACAACGACTCTGCCCACCGTGTTCACCCAAGAAATGATGGCACTCCAACACAGAATGTTCAATGGCCTTGTAGCTTTCCACGACATGGCTTTCAATTCTTCGATGCCTTTACCCGACGACATTGTCAGGACTAATATTCATCATCTCCCACTGCTTCCTCCTGCCGCCGCCGCCATCACCGCCTCTGTACCTCACCCACGTCCTCCGCGGCGTCGTCGTCGTCGTCGTCTTCGTGCCGCTGCTCCTGTATATGATCCTTTAGCGTCCCCGGGTCCTGTAGAAACAGGAATTCCAGGAGTTCTGGGAAGAAGAGGCAGCTTTGCTACATTTCATGAAGAACCTGGAAGAAGAGGCAGCTTTGCTAGAATTTATCAAGAACATGGGGATTTGCCCAAGCTAAAGCATAAGGATTCGGTGAAATCTTCGGCCAAAGACAAAGCTGATGTCGAATGTTCAGTCTGTTTCGAAGAGACTAAACTCGTTACGTTGGAATGTGGCCACGGCTACTGCCAGCGATGTTTTATCAGAGCATTCGAAGTGGCGGTGAAAGACGAATCTAGATTCCCTCCAAGATGCTGCAGCACGCCTATACCGTTGAAGGGAAACGAATCGTTGATCAGTGTTGAACTAGCACAGGCTTATCGTCGAAAAGAAGTCGAGCACAGCACTCTTGATCGAACGTATTGCCATAATCCCCGTTGCTCCCAATTCACCTTCCCACAGAATTCGGGTCACTGTGATTTTTGTGACGAGGACACGTGCGTCGCGTGTAAAGGGGCAGCACACAAAGGCGATTGTCCAAAGGATGAGGAAATGGAACAGATTTTGGAAATAGGCAGGGTAATGAACTGGGTGCGCTGCCCGGATTGTCGGATCATGATTGAGCGGACTTGGGGATGCCCGGAAATGAAGTGAGTCTGCATACCCTGTCCATGACCATTGAAATGTTTTGTTAATTTCTTGCAGGTGTCGGTGCGGGTGTAATTTCTATTATTATTGCCTCCTACATCCAACTTTGTGCGTTTGCGAGAGTCCTAGGTGGGTAATTCGAGAAAGTCCCGAGACAGTAAATGGCTTCTATATAGGCAGGGACACAACCAGGATTGGCAGTAGTGGCAGGGGCTCGATCTTCGGCGACGCTCCGAGCAAAACCTAACAATTCAATCCAAACAACTGGACCGGCAAAGGCGGCAGCAGCAGCAGGAACAATACCTCCCCGACAACTCATCAAACAACCAGAAAAGTGGGAGGAATATCACGCCCCAATCAATCGGTCTACTGAAAGTCTCAGGTGCGACCATGTGTGAATTCGATTTGACGGATTAAGCCGGTGTACTCAGTGCAATGATGGATATCCAAAAAGTTGCTTTCGATTGCGTCTATTTTTCTTTTCCTCCTTATGAGATAGCTGCTCAAATAAACTCGAAACGGTCGGGTTTCTTGGCCTCTTTGTCTTGAAACGGGAGAATATAGATATCAGCAGGGCAATGAAGGACACGCCACGTCTAACCTGGCGATGATCAGTATTCAAACACGGATGATATTTGTTGACATACGATTAACTAATGCGCCATTTGTACGAAACATGTCCATCTTCTCTACTAGGCAAGCTTTTATTCAAAGCGCTTGCATACCCTTCTTTGGCCAGCCAGTCCGACCACAATTAGCCGAGCTCCTTCGAAATTCGGAATTGGCCAAAGGACCACGAAACATTTGTCCTATCAACCTCACCACTTGTCAAGACTCATCTCCTAATTGATCTATCAGGTCTCAAGCACCAATTAATCGGCTCACTACCCGCCCCTGACTCACTCACCTTCCTCAGCCCTTTGGAACATGGCCATAATCTGTCAATTGCAACCAGCAATAAAGACTCGCCACTTCCAACGCCCAAAGCACCTTGTACCTGTCGCGCTTCCGTCACTGCCAAAAAGAACGGCCACTACACGGTTCTAGCACTAGTAGGCACATTTGAGCGGGCACAGTTGCAAGCTGTCGAGGGCCAATAACGACCCACAAGGATCATGATGTTGAGGTGGAAGGGATGTTTTGTTCCAAAGCAACTGGGTAGCTCTGTCGAAAATGCCATCTCTTTGTTTTGATTCAAGACCGGACCAACGGCGGCTAGTGGACAAATACAGACCAAACCAAAACAACACACACAACTCACTCAGCTATCAGGTCTTCTGGCTCAGTTATCACGATACTCATTCTTCACACTCTTGGCAGAATTAAGTGAACAAATACTACTGGCTATTCATTACTGTCATTATCGATGGAAAATCCAATCCAATCCAAAATGTTGTTCAGCTTCTTTTGGGCAATCATCATGACCGCAGCCGCGCTACTCATAATCCCGAAATATCTCGACTCTCGCATCGAGCAAGATATGGTTGCCATTCACGGCAAGACACGTGAGCTCCAGACCAAGCTTGACAATGTCCAACGCCAACTAGACCTATTGCAAGTAGCACGCTTGAAGGTCATGGAAGCAAATCTAGCCCGGCTTCAGAAATGGTTCGAACTTTTACAGAGAAAATCGGAAGAGGAGGAGTCAAATGGAGCCTCCTCGGATTCATAGGAAGAAGGAATTATGGTGTCTCCACCTTCGGAAGATGAGGGAACTCAACTCAACACAACTCGACGTAAAGGGGCTAAGGAAAGCTCGAAGAAATCATGGGCAAAAACTTGCCAGAGTCATTAGGTGCATTTGTTATACTGTGAGTGCTAAAGACAAGACCCCCTCGATCCAGACAGCTGACCCATTCTCGACAGATTCGTGTAAATAGATTGACCTTTCCTAGACCTGTGGTTCTCAATATGCATAGATGGTAGTTTGCCGCGACCAATAAAGGGGATACTGGTTCCAAAAGCGATGTTTTCACAGAGGCAGAGGGAGAGAGACGGAGACTCGGAGTATGTTTCGGGCATTTTTAGTTTACCGATAATGCCCGTCTCGATGATACAAAATACCACAAGCGTTTTCAACAAAAAGGAATCGATCGGCGACTATAACTATTCAGAATTTGACCATGTGATTAATCGAGATAGGCCGAAGGGTTGACGTCGGTTGATCTCTCGAGACTTGGCTGCTGAATATCTTAACCCAATCTAGTTCCGGGGCTGCTGGTGTGGAGAGCACTGATGATACCAATAATGTAAGGGTATATGCAGGCCGCTCTATAGGACTTGCTCATCAAGTAGGAGCTCGCGAAGGATGTCGCTAATTCTGATTGGTGGCGATTGTCTGGTGTTCAAGTATGCCAAGTGTGACGAAAAAGAAGCACACAGTCAACTTGTGCTATAACGCGAGACGCACCTCATTAAACGTGGAATATCGTCATGCTCCAAACCGTCTCCACCACAACTTAATTTGGGATGCCTGACATGCAAGTCTTACCATGTAGTAGCCACAAGACTATAGCTTGGGCCCCTTGGCCGTTATACAGCAACATGCTGTTTTCAGCCAGCCACCACATGCGTATCTGGACGCACCCCTACGGATTCAGTTCTCCGCAGATATCGAAAACAAGGCATACAAATGCCGAGGAGTGCCCATAGCAGGGGCTGAGACATTGAACAGGGGGGCATATATGCTATAGTGGCTACCCCGAAGCGCAGGGAATCTATCAGTGACCAATCGCCGTCGATCTATACTGCGTTAAACGCGCTCGCCATCGCATATATAGAATGCTGTGCAACCAACATTTTGGGAACCACCACATTGGCAAAGTTAGAGAGCATCACCACCCCCAAAACTTGGATTTGGATATCCAGGGAGCGGGGAAGATCGAAAAGGATGCTGGCATGGTGCCCAATTTTTGGTTTCGTTTGGCATGATAATGCGAGAGCAGAGGAGCAAGCCCATTACATTGAATCTGTCGACTCGCGATGGTGGGTAGGGACCGATCGGAAACCTTATTATACTGGCCTATATTCACCCGCCGCTAGATAAGTAGCCCAGCTTTGCCATCACTCTCGCATACAGATACCGTCATCTATCTCGAACCCAACAAGAGTTCAGTTGGTTTGTGATTAAATCTAGTTTATAATCTTGTCAAAATGACGACAAATCCAGTCTTGTTGGCCGCCGGCAGCATCGTCGCGTGGTACGTGATATCGAGCCTCTGGACCTGGTATCGGCTCCGACATATCCCCGGCCCCAAGCTCGGCGCCTTTTCGTACCTCTGGGTGGCGTGGAAGGTGGCGCGCGGGCGCGGCATGGACTATGAGCACCTGTCCAAGTACGGCCCCGTGGTGCGCGTCGGGCCAAACTACGTGGTAATCGACGACCCCAACGACCTCCGCCGCCTCAATGGCAACCGGACCCAGGACGCCCGCCGCGATGACTGGTACTCGGCCACCAAGATGGAGCCGGACCACAACATGCTCCTCAGCGTGCTCGACGCCAAGTCGCACGACTCCCTCAAGGCGCGGGTCTCGTTTGGCTACAGCGGCCGTGACAATATCGACTTTGATGTTGCCGTCAATGACCAGATGACGCATTTTATTGACGTCCTGCGGCATAGATTCGTGTCCCGGCCCGGCGGCAGCAGCGCTGGCAGTGACCAGGTCAAGGCCCTCGACTTTGCCCAGTTCATCCGGTACTTTACCCTCGACACCATTACCAAGATTGCCTTTGGCCAGGCGTTTGGCTTCATGGATCACGACGGAGATCTCTACGGCTACACTGACGAGGTCGAAAGGCTGCTCGGCGTGCTGGCCCTTGCCGGTGATGTGCCCCTGTTGCGTCATATCTTTACGACTCCCGTCCTGGCACAATGGTTTGCTGCCAGACCTACGGCTTCAAATGGCGTGGGCAAACTTCTCGGGTAAGCAAATCAGGCATCCAAGAGCATACGCCCCCTGGTTTTGTTTTCTCGACCTTGCTAACAGGGGGAAAAAAATTCAAGAATTGCCCATGAGATTATAGATAATCGCATGGCAAAAAAGGACGCGGAGGCGCCCGATATGATTGTATGACCCAAACACGCACACAAACTTTTGGCATCATTCAAAACTTACTGAATAACACTGCAGGGATCGTTCATGAAACATGGAATGGATATTCGAGAAATCAAAAATGAGACCATGCTCCAAATCCTTGCTGGGTCGGACACGACAGCCACGGCTATTCGTTCCACAATGTGTAAGTATTCCCAGTCATGATGTCGAAAGCCTCCTACGGAAACGCGACGTTGGTGGTGCTAATCATTTAATGATGCAGTGTACTTGATGACCAGTCCGAGGGTATACCAACGGTTGAAGAATGAAATCAAACAAGCCGTTGCTTCTGGCGTCTCGAAACCCATCAGTGTCGATCAGGCTAAACAGTTGCCATATCTCCAGGTCAGTCTCCTCCAGTGTTGCACTACAAGCGTCGTTCACGAAAGACTCACATGTGCAAAATCTCTTTTCCTGTCAGGCTGTCATCTTTGAAGGTCTCCGCATGCGGCCCCCAACTACCTATGGCTTCTACAAGATCATGCCCGGCAGTGGCGAATATATACAAGACAAGTTCATTCCGGGCGGCACGTGAGTAAAACTTTTCCCCTATTTTGCTTACCCACGAATCATTTATTCAAGGGGAAAAAAAGATGGCTCATGTTGACTTTTTTTCGTGGCAAATGAATACAGTGCGGTAGGGTGGAATATGCCGTCGCTCATGCGCCGGGAGGATTTATTTGGACCCGACACACAGCTCTTCCGTCCGGAGCGCTTCCTCGAATGCACCGAGGAGCAGCGAGCCGAGATGATACGGAACGTCGAGCTCTGCTTTGGCTACGGCCGCTGGATGTGTGCCGGCAAGATTCTGGCCCTGGTCGAGCTGAACAAGATGTATTTCGAGGTACGTTGCAAACCCCTCTGATCAGACCGAGTCTACTACGTCGGGATTCTCTCAGTCGCTTCTCTCCAAGACATGCTGACGCCGTGGTCGTTTCTCTAGCTGTTGCGAGAATTCGAATGGCAAATTGTTTACCCAGGAAATGCCTGGAGTGAGAAAGCCTACACTGTATATTCGCAGCGGGATATGTGGGTTTCAGTCACAGAGGCAGAAGCCGCATGATCATCAAAGGAGAAGCAGAGTACCGGATGAACAAACGATAATTCTTGGAGAATGCTTGACAAGGTCTGAAAAGCATGTTATTCAATACTGCTGTTTATTTCTCTAATTTCAGGGACATGCCTGAACCACTAGTTGGAATAGATCTTTCTCCAAACGGCTGGCAAAGGGCTTTCTGGCTAAATGTTGCCCTGTCTGAAGCGAGTGATCCCAAGATATTCTCCATCATTGGTAATGAAATATGTTTCAATCGGAGGATTGGTAGATGTTATGAATGAGTTGAGTAGATATGAAGTAGTCAAATCGCCGTACTTGAAGATCTGATAAATGTGAGGGTAATTTCTATGACTCATGTTTGCCCGCAACTACCACCATGCGGTCTATAACAACCGTTGAGGCCCCATAGTACAATACAACTAATTTAGCTCTAGGGAAACTCTAGGAAACTCACCAAATGACCCGCTTCAAAAGACTATAGACGGCCAAAGTGGATGATGTTTTCAGTCTAAAATGATGACTATATGATTATAATAGAGCTACACTTTTGTGACGCCGGGAGAACAGATCCCCATATAGGTACACATACAAGACAGGGAATGATTACTTTCGTGCCCCCTTACCATAGCACTCCTGGAACACATCAGCCAACTTTTGAAACTTGATGCCGTCAAAGTACTTGTTGTTCTCGGGCAAGACCTCGCTGCCGTCGCCAAAGACCTCATTCAGCTCGGCAATCATTATGTCCATAAAGTTGCCGCCCTTTCTCGCCTGCTCGGCCCGGGCCCTCAGCTCCTCGAGCCCGACATGAGTCCTCGCGAGCTTGGCTCCCAGCGCGGCCTCGAGCTGGTCCGCCGCCTCGTCCCACGTCAGGCGGTCGCCGCTGATGTAGCTGTACTCTTCCCACCCGCCCGCCGGCACCTTGAGCAGCGCCACCAAGCACCGCGCCACATCGCGCGCCGCCGTAAAGCTAATCTTGTCCTTTTTGCCATTGCCAGGGATGAGAGCCGTCTTCTTGTCCGCGTCCAGGGGGATGATCTCGGCCTCGAGATCCGGAAACCCGCTCTTGTCGCCGCGGGGGCGAAAGAAATCCATGAGGACGCCGTTGCTAATCAGGGTGTACTCGATGCCGCGGGCGGGACAAAAGGCGCGGACATAGTTGCGAAAGTGCGGCTTGTCGCGCTCGCACGAGAGCGCCGACCGCGGGAAGCCCGCCACGTTGTTGGCGTACTCGGCCGGCACGAAGCGGCGCAGGTTGACGCGCGGCGAGACGGCCGCCGTCAGCAGGTTCCGGTGCGCGAGCGCCCCTAGCGAGGACCCCTCCTTGGAGTCGTCAAAGTCGACGATAAAGGAGAGCAGTGTGTCGATGCCTTCCAGTGCTGCAATCAACTGAGAGGGGTACCTGTAGTCCACGACCTAGAGGCGGAGAAAGGAGGAGCCATTAGCCAATCTTGTTGGACGGCTCTTGATACAGCCTAGTAAGCTGCTGGTGATGTATTATTACCTTGACATTGGCCCCCTTTGCTTCAAGATCAGGCTTTGGAGAGCGAGACAAGACAGTGACATTGAATTCCTTACTCTCTAGCAGAGCATTTACAACATGTCTTCCTAGAAATGAAGAATGTAGTTAGAAAAGCTGTACATGACGAGATTGCCTGCTGTAGAGAATATTCTCGAACGTACCCAGGCCACCGGCACCAGCGATGGCAACATTCTTGGACATGGTGTTGCAATTTTTTTTTGTATCGAGGTAGTATATTTATTAAAATTTCAGTAAGTCGAGGTTCACAAGTCTTTTTGCGAGTCTTCTGTGTGACATGAGAAAGTGACGGTGAGAGAGAAAAGGGGGTGTCTTTATGGTTGGGCTGATTTGACACTAACGGGCATCAGCGCCAGTCATCCCACGCGAATGCACGACACGAAACCACGTGATGTCAAACTTCAGGCCATCACCAGGCAGCGCAAAGGCCATCAGTTGGGTCCCTTCTTGGCCTTGTCACTCAGGGCAGCCATGATGGCTGAGATCGAGATCCATTCTATTATATATGTTCACAGCCACGTCACACCCAAAGATGCAGAATAGACACCCCGGTGTAATGCATCATGTCACGGCTCAGTTATCATTAGAGGGGAAAAAAAAAAAGAGTGAGCTTTCAATTCATTGATCGATTCCATTCCTTGGATCTATACTGCCTACTGCTTTGATTTGCAGGATACAGAACATCGTGCTGGAAATAAAGAAAAAGAGAAACGAAAAGAGAAACAGATCCATTACTTTTGCCAGCCTTGTTTATGCATATAATGCATATATGAGCCCAGGATCCAATATGCGGAACACCTTTGCAGCCTGCAGCCCCCAGCTTTCGGCAAGCAGATGTCCATGATGGCTCCCCGAGAGACATTCGCAGCCCATTCCCTATTGTTGCTGCGTGTAGTCGATACAATTCTGTACAATGCGGCTTGCCGAAATTGCAAGCCCTCCCATAAATTCATAGAACAAGTCAATCATGCCAGTCCTGTGCTTTCGAATCTGGGTTATATAGTATATAAGCGTGGGCCGGGTGTCGAGCGGTGAGAGAGCGCTCATGGCACCTTGAACACAGGTGTGGGTAGGTGTGATGCCCATTTTTGATCTGCTAAGCGGAGAAGGAGCACATGGCTCCAGTGCCACGTAGCAGAGCACATGATGTTGTGCTGTGGATGGCCTCTCACACCTCCCACTCCTCCTCAACATCGTCATCGTCTGCAGTCTCCTCGGGAGCCAAAGCAGCAAATGATGAGTGGCTGCTGAGAGCAGGCTTTGACTTGCTTCCGTTCACAGCGGTCTTGGCTGCTGGTGCAGAGGCTTGGATTGGTGTTGCCGAGGTGGCAGGTTCTGGGGCAAATTCCTGGGTCTTCTTGCCCTTCTTGCTCTTCTTGGTGGTGACCTCGTTCCAGGCAGAGGAATCTTCCATAACCTGGGCAATCTGGTCCTCCTCAGAGGGAAGAGACGACATCCAAGACTCGGATCGCTCCTTGTTACCTGCAACAGCAGCCTTGGGGGTCGAGGTGGACACGGGAGTCGCGGCCGACTGCTCGAAAGTGTCAAGGAGCTGCACGGGGGCAGACGAATCGCCGTTGGCCTTGGCGGTCCAGGCATTTTCCTTGTTGGCCACAAAGGACGAACCATCCTTGGCGGGTCTGCCCTCGGCGATGCGGGCTCGGCGTCTCTGAGCCTCCTCAAGCTTCTTGCGCTCAACCTCATCTTGCTCACGCTCCGACTTCTTACGTTCGGCCTTGAGGCGGTTCTGTCTCTGCTTCTTTGTCTCGACGGGGGCAGGGGCCGCCTTGGTCTTCTTTGCCGACGACTGAGGAGCCTTGTCGGTGTCGGTTAGTCGCAGGACGGAAGGTCCAGGAGACGAAGCCTCCAACATGTCGGATACACCAGTGCTGTCGACGGGTGCGGCAATGGGGGAAGCGGCAGACGAAAGATCATCATCGGCGTCTCCAGCTGCTGATGAAGGAGGGCTAGCGGCAGGGGCATCATCGGTCTCCTGTGCTCGGGACTGCTTGACAGACTTTTGTCTCTTCTTCTCGGTCTTGCCGGATACGAATTGATGACCAGTCTTGAGCTTGGAGAATGACTGGGCAAAGTCCTGGTTGGCCTTGGCCTCGTCGCGCTTGGCAGCTGCCTCGGCGACAGGGTCGTATTCGACAGCTGCGGTGGCGGTCTCGGGGCGAGACGGTGCTGGCTTGGACTTTGGCTTCAATGCCTTGTCGGCCTTCTTCTTCATGGCGGCGGTCGCGGATGCCACATCATTGCCCAGGTCTTGCTTTGCTTGTGTGACGGTTTTGGCCACGACATTCTTCTTCTTGGGGTCGTTGTGGATTCGCCAGTAGATGGCACCACTAAGGCCAACCAGCAGAATCCAGCTGGCGACAGTCTTGACGAGGCTGTGATCCGACGATGTGGCCTCCATATTGACGGTTTCGCGCGTTGAACGAGGACAATTGGGAGGGTTACGTGGCGCAATGCTCGCGGCACTGAGAAGATGGGGGAATGGACGGTGTCGGACCGATCCGAGCTAGCACTGCTGGGGGGGTGGTTGTCTGTCCAGAAGCTGTCGTGTTGGCAGTTGTGGTTTGTGAACCTCTGTGAGCAGGCAGGTAGGTACGGTCCGAGTTGTCTTTGACCAGCTTTCCTTGCGGGATGGATACACAAGCTGGAGAAAGGTATGAATGGAGGACGGGCCACAAAGGTAATAAGATGGAAAGTCGGCGACCGAGGGAGGTGTCAGTGTGTAAAGGGGAAGCTTCAGAGAGTTGTCCAGGGAAAGAACCCCAATTTAGAGCAGTTGTGGGGATGTGGGTTGGAGCAGCAGGCAGGTCGAGACTCTGACCAGCTTGCGCTTCTGGTCTTGGATGCGTAGTGCGGATCTAAAAAGAAGCACTATCGGGAATAGTTGGTAAAGACGGCAGACAAGTTTCATGCCCTTTCTTGTGATATGTTGGGCAAAAATTTGAGAAGGAATTGATCATGCAGTGGGAGAAAGAAAAAAAGATGATGATGAACAAGGTACAAGAATGAAGAGAGACGTTGAAATGAAAGAGGACAAATAAGTTCAAATGGTTTATTGCAGAGAGATGACAAAGTTCGCAGTTTCAATTGGCGATAGTCTTGGGGTCTACGTGTGGAAGAAGGACGAGCAGCTTTCCAGAAAGTCTTGGCGCTGCATTAAATTGGACAGACGATTGAACAGGTGGCCATTGGGGGAGACCGGAGCTGTTCAATCCGCCGGGGAAGTTTCTTAGTGGCCATACCTGCACATAGATGTCCCCCGATACAGGCGACCCTGTTCACCTAACCTGTAGGTAAGTCAAGGTCAAGGTAGTGTTGCAGTGAGCGCTGGAGGTGAGTGGCAGCAGCAATAGCAGCACCACCAATCCAGCACCAGACAGGGGGGTGACCCGACACCGTCAAGGTTACAGCTGAGCTCCAAAAAAAGAGGAGAAATCAAAAGTCTCCATACATTGCACGTCAGTTGCTAGGGTAAAAGTTATTACCGCAGACAACCCCCATCGTAGGTGATAATAATTGGCGTAGTCTTATAACTCCATGACGACTTTTTTTTTTTTTTTTCCATATTCCGTCTCGTCTGCTTATACACCATCCCATTAGTTGATACAAACAGATGATTAATAAAGTTTGGCTGAACTGGACGAATGCTGCTGAAGAACTCTTAAAAGCTGGCAAGCATGTATCTCTAAAGGGTAGGTGGTGCATCACCATATTACAATGTCAGCTAAAGAACAACCATGAGCTTCGGGAATATGAAATGGAAGATTACACATGCAATAGAATGCTCGGTAGACGCTGCCGGTTCCCACGCTAGCTGCCATGATCTGCATCCAATTCGTGGGTGCGACCTCCGATTTATCCCTCCGGAACTGGAAATCTGATCAATTGGCAGAAAGGCAAAAAGGGCATTATTGATTCAAGGTACAAAGGCTTCCTGTACCTGGAATATATCCGCTGAGCAGTGATTCCACCAAAGTCTACACAACCATACGAGAAGACGTGTGTATGTACATTAATATTCAGACGCAGCCGGACTATGCACAAGCAGGCGTTGTCGTATCATATTGGGTTAGGATGGCAGCGCTCGAAACACGCCGAGCCATTCAATATAATTGAATGTTGAACGCAGGGCATCTTGAAGAACAGGCGCAATCTCGAGTTGGGACCTTTATGCGACAATATCCACGTCAGCTCGCAGGAGCTTGATACTGAAGTAAATGGCTGAGCCAAGTGACGGAGAAAAGGCTCCAATATAGTGCTCAAGTGGAATAAAGCCCTTCAAAAGACCTTTTGACGATGTTGACATGTGGAATACAGCTTGTTATATCAGGATGAACGGGTGAATTGCAACATTACTTCCCTATAACCCCAATCGACCCCCGGAAAGTGAGGGGTAGATCGGGGCCGGCCGCTCTGGCAGAAAAGTCGAGTCTGTCGACCGGCGGCGACAGACATCATATTTCGTATTTGAAGCTGTATATTGAATCATATCCATGAGATATTACTGATGGCAAAACATCCTTGGAAGAAGATAAAAAATCCAAGACACCAGGTAGCACCCTGAGAAGATTAAGCGCGGCTTCCATTTTGCTGCAAGCATTTGACTTGGTCGTATTCCGCTGGTCGCCGGTGGACACACATTATTGGGTCTTGCGCTTATCAACTAGCTTTCCCCTCCTACCTAGACGCCGATTTTCATCATATCGAGGTTGTTGGGACCTCGGAGCTGCCTTTTGAATTCATAATAAGACTGGGAGGAAGCCCGTCTTCAAATTTGTGTGAAACGCTTCATCTCAAATCTTTTCAACTATCCATATATATATACACACACAATAGGAAAAGGAGGGATATTAAACATGGCGCCAAAGAGCAGAGTCATCTTCGACACTGATCCAGGTATGCAGGCACCCGCCCGCCATTTCAAAGCACCTTAGGTCACTAACACGCCATGATCAAAAGGTGTCGATGACATGCTGGCCATGTTGCTGGCCTTGGCATCGTCGCCCGAAGAAATCGAGCTGCTCATGATCTCGGTGACGTACGGCAACGTTCCGCTCAAGAGCTGCCTCAAGAATGTCGTCTCCATGTTCCACGTCCTGGACAAGGAGTTGGAATGGCGTCGATCTCAAGGCAAGCCTGAAGGTTTTGCCTCGCTGAGAGCGTACAAGCCTGTCGTGGCCATCGGCCCCGAGCATGCCTTGGAGGAGGAAATCTTGATGGAGGATGGCTTTCGTGAGTCCGACATGTGACAGAGCACCCAGTCACGGGTGGTTGGAGACTAATTGCACGCTACAATAAACAGATGGATCTGATGGACTTCACGGAGTCCACGAGGCGGTAAGTTACCAGATTGTAACCAAGTTACGAGTTCATAAACTGATCGATGACCCAGCATCCTCACTTGAATCCAGATGAGACTTGGAAATCTCTGTTCGAGGATGGCGTGCCTACGCCGGCGCAGGACCCTGCATACTACTCCTACTTTACGCCTTCCAAGGTGCCAGCTCACAAGGAGATGCTACGGATACTAAAGGAAGAGCCCGCAAACACCATTACCATCTGCGCCGTCGGTCCCATGACCAACCTGGCCATGGCTGCTGCCGAGGACCCGGAAACCTTTCTGCGCGCCAAGGAGGTATGCGTCATGGGCGGTGCCATTGAGGTGCCCGGCAACATCACCCCGGTGGCCGAGTTCAACACGTACGCCGACGCCATCGCCACGGCCCGCGTCTTTGCTCTGACGTCGGCCGTCCCTTCGTCGACCATGCCCGTCGTCCCTCAGACCATTGCCAAACTGCCGCCTTACCCAGAGAACCTGTCGCGGCGCCTCAAGATCCTTCTCTTCCCTCTCGACATTACCACGCCGCATCTCTTGAATCGCAACTTTTTCTTTGACTCGGTTACACCCCACGTCAAGGAGGGCAGCCCTCTGGCCATGTGGATCAACACCATCATGGGTGGCGTGTTTCGTCAGATTGAGAAAAACTATGGCGATGACGAGGAGCCCGGACTATCGCTGCATGACCCCCTGACGATCTGGTACAACATTACGCGCGACCATCCGGCGTGGAAGCTGGCCAGGAGCGAGCCCGAGGACATACGCATCGAGACGTCGGGCCAGTGGACTCACGGCATGCATGTCTCGGACTCGCGTGGTCGTAAGAGGGCTCCTGGGGCCGGATCTGCCATTGGCGTCACTGCCGACGGGCAGGGAGCCGTAGACGTGGCCGTCGACGAGATTCCCGGTGACGACTTTGGCTGGCTGAGCGCAAAGAGAGGAAACAGAATTCACAGATGGGCCGAGAGTCCCGGCTTCGACAAGTTTGCGCCAGATTTGATGCACCGCCTGTTCAGCTGAGGAGATGGATCATATATCAGTAGAAGATAGCATAGAAAACCATTTCTTTTATTCTTCATTTTGCTCATGTCTGCATTCCTCGCATACATATCTTTGTGAGCTGCAAGACTTGTTGGTATCATCAGGGCAATGCGTACCCTATTCAAATGCCCGAGAAAAAGATCTCCAGATCTATAACATTTAGATCGCCCTGAACGCCATAATATGCAAATGTGCCATGCACCACGCCCACATGGCTCGTCCTCTACGAGAATGAAACCGGCCGTGTCGAGCCAGGTGTCCTGGACTCTGTGGCGCCTCTTATCCTACATTACTCTATTTGGCAAAGAGCATGTTTCCAATCACTGACGTTGCCAAATGTCTAGCTGTGTTTCGTCGTGCCAATGGTTGCGCCTCGTACTTTCGACCAGTCGATCTCGTTCTCAATGGATTCATCCACTAGGCCCACGAGGCAGACATTGTCACCTCTGACAATGTACAGGCCCAACGGCACCGTCTCGGAGTCTTCAGGGTCATCGGGGGTACGGATCACGCGCTCCAGAGTATTGGACAGGACCTGCATGAAAAAAGAATCCAGGTGTCAGTTGTTTTTTCAAGTTTATCCCAAGCTTGTCCAAAGGGAAAATGCAGAAGAAGACTTACCAGGTTAGTCAGCTGGTCGAAGCTCTCGAGCTTGCCGACAAGCATGCGCGAATCAAGGGTCAGCACCACAACCTTCTCTACCCAGCTGTCAGAATCCCAAGATGTAAGCTCAAGATACGCGAGGTCCTTTTGACATGACATCCCGCCGGGTGTAATAGCAAAAAGAAGCTGCACTTACTCTCGATGTAGTTTCCGAGGTTCGACATGATTGCGACACCACGGTGAGGAGCAGCACAGGAGAACGAGTGAAGGGTTGCTGAGATTTATTTTTCGCAATTAATTATCGCATGGGCCAAGGGTGGGAGGGAGGAATCGACTGAGACAAAGACGCGCCGCGGGGTTGTGAACCAGGACTGCTGCAATTGATTTTCTCCAAATAAGTTGATAGCTCGAGGCTGTAGGTATCAAGCTTGAGATGTCGGGTTTACGTAGGTGGGCTTTGTAGAGGTACCTCTCCAGCTGTGCAAACGTGGATAGGTACAATAACCAGCATAATGGAGCCAATCATGAAATCAGATCCACTCCCGCCGTTGGCTTGCGCCGGATTAAATTGGAACCGGCGCTCAGGCAGGCAGTGACTTTGAGCAAGGTCAGGTAAGGTCCCTGGCTTGCCTTGGCGGTTGACTTGTATTGTGTACGGAATAGACAACCTCAACCCATCCTTTCAAGCATTGACCACACCTTAAGGCTTACAGGTACAAACAGATGAGAGTACGGAATACGAACAGTGCATTGGACTTCTGCTGATCCCCATGTGATAGCAAGCGCACGATATAAGACGATCCATTTTCATCGCCACGCAAAGCTTACGAGGGGCATCACGAGGTGATCCGGGAAATGTCAATGCACAAGATGGCGCAGGCAAATAAGCGTTCATCAAGGCAAGAGGCAATGCAACGAATGAGCCTCTCAAAGTGAGCTGCTTGATTACAAGTCAGTAATCACAATGCTATTTCTAACTCTTTTCTCTCCTCAATCAGACGGGTATCTGACATTTTCTCGCTGTATGCACTGCATGAACTCATCCTCTCAGGAGCCGTCATTTCGTGCCAATGTATTCACATCATCTGCAGGAAGTTATGTGCGCATAATGAACAACTTCTTTGTCTGTCGGCCACCTCGTATGCACTGGCATCATTGGTAGACTGTTTAGTAACGCATGCAACATGCAATCCTCCCGTCCTCCCGTTCCTATCAATGGATCTTGGTCGTAGCTAAACCGACTTTCATCATCTCTTTTCGGTAGTCCGGCCGGAATTCCGTGTTCCTTGCATTGAACAAAGAATCCAACAGGTTGTGCCAGTCATTGCGCATTATAGGTTCCATGTTGACAGAACACGAAAGAGGCGACTGCTATTTGCCAATCAACCGCCGATCTGTTGGTCCCCTATTGAAACAATGCAGGGGTAGACGAGTTGGTCGTTTCATCCACCCCAAAGCGTAGGTCAAATGCCCAGAGGATTGGCTCCTGTCAATTCTCCTTAGCGGCTGCCCACCCCACAAAGGGCCTAAAGCCGTCTAGCTAGTCAGCGCCCCCCACCCAAGAGGCCTCAAGACCATTAACACCTGCTCCTTGACGACACCTTACATGCCATCGAGAGCTGCTGATCACGAGTAATTCCTCTCAGGGGCTTCTCTTTTGCCGTCCTAAGGTTAAGGATTGTGATAAATAAAACAAAGTCTTCCAAGAAATTTCTTCTCCGCCTTTCAACAGAGCTTCTTGTATGCTTTTGGGCCGTGCCTCCACAGGATAGCAACTGCTGATAACCTGCCTCATTCATTATACTACATACGTCTTCACTGCCACTTTCACTCATTTTCTTCTGCCCCAGCAAATAGACTCAGCCAGTCTGCCGGTCATTCCTTCGTCTCCAGTCCATACAAAGACTCGAGATAATCAAGAAAGTTTATTCATAGACGTCAGCTTCCAAGGACCCATCAGCCTCGTACAGCGTAAGAACCGACAAGACTTGATTCCTCATTGACAACTAGCATCGCTAACATTGGCAAAAGGAATCTTTGTCATACCGACAACAAAGAAGCAATACTTGGCATTGCTATAAAACATAACAATAAATCCCAAGGTTATTTGCAGCCTTGTATATTATTGCTTGCTTATTTGGAACGGAGCAAAAAATCAATCACGTTCACTCTCAACAACTTTGAATCGCAGCATCGTTTGATACGATCTCGACTGAACAAGAAATATCTACACATATCACCACATAATCGGCAAATCCTTGGGGGTTTCTCCAAACAAAAGCACATATTTTCGACAAGTAAATCAAAATGAAGTACTCTCAAATCGCAACTTCACTCCTCCTCGCCGGCAGCGCCCTGGCCGCACCCTCGGCCAAGGTCGTGGCACCGCGCTCCAGCAGCGCCGCGGACCTGATCCTCGCCATTGCGCCCGACTCGGCGAGCTGCGACAGCTCCAACGACGAGTGCCGGACCAATGTGCAGGCGGCGCCTCTCCTCATTGACGCCTTTGACAAGTACGACATTCGCACCACGGCCGAGATTGCCGGCATCCTGTCCCTCATGGCCTACGAGTCGGTCAACTTTGCCTACAAGCGCAACAAGTCCCCCGGCCGCCCCGGCCAGGGCACGGCCAATATGCAAATGTTTGACTACAATGTCAAGTACGCCGCCACCCTCTCGGACCTGACGACGCAGGTCGCCGCCCTCGGCACCATCACCACCGACGACGGCAAGAACCAGCTGCTGGACCTGGTCGTTGATGACCAGTACAACTTTGGCTCGGGCCCTTGGTTCTACTCGACCCAGTGCACCGATGCCCAGCGCACGGCTCTGCAAAAGGGCGACGACGATGGCTTTGCGCAGTACATGGCTTGTGTCGGCGTCACGGTTACGGATGATCGCAATGCCTACTGGACCCGCGCCAAGACGGCGTTTGGTCTCTAAAGAACAGAAAAAGTGGCTTTCCATGAGAGAAGTATTGAAGATATTTCCTCGCTCCTTATGGACGGATAGTCTAATGAGCATGTGAGGCGTTTGTACTCTGCGTTTGGCGTTTTCTGGATTTCGTTGTTCATGAACAATTTGGAAGGGATAGGGCCAGGGCCTATTATAGATACCCAAAAACAACGAATGAATTGACATTTTGCAAATAATAGCAACATTTTCTTGATCATGTGACAATTTGAGTGAAGCGGTGTACACACTGATTTCTATAACCAGTGGCAGGTTTCATCACAACTGAATTACTTTAGCAGCCCACGTATTCGACACTGTTTTATTGATCATGGATGATATGGCTGATAATGTACTATCAAAGCGTTGACTAACTAAACACCAAACATGTCCTCCAACTCGACCTCAGCTTTGCCAGGTATTGGACACCTGGGCAGTAGCGCAGCTCGACGGCACCGTATAAGTGTGGTTGGGATCAGCCTCCCAGGTGACGGTGCCGCTGCTGGCGACGTTGATAAACTTGTACGAAAAGGCCGTGCCCGGCGGCAGGTTGATGGTGACGGTCCACACGGGCTTGGCGGCTGTGTACGATGCCGCGCTCAGCGCAATGGCCTTGGTCGTGTCCCAGCTGCCGAGGGCTGCGATGGATCCCACGCTGGTGCCCGGGTTAGGGTTACTTTGGCCAAGAAGGGGGGTTTTGATGGAGTTTGCTTGTATAGGAAGGGGTAACGGGAAGGTAGAGCAGATTGTGTTTTTGGGAATCAATATGCATGGCTAAGGAGAAAATTGCAAATAGGCTATACGTACATTTTAATCGTTTGTCCAACTTGAGTCGTTACCGTCTCGGTAAAGCTTACTGGCACCGTTGAACAAGCGGTTGAGGCTGTGTTTGCACACCGAGTCAGCTTCGTATATCTTGACATGGCCGAGTAAAATCAGATGAACTTACTTCCTGTCGGCGCGGTCGTTGTCTTTGTCGCACTGGTTGTCGTTGTTCCACCTGCGAGACTGATTAAGGCGTCAATTCAAAGGAGATTTATTCTTTTTTTTCTTTCTGTCATCCGCGCTCGAAAATTCGAGTCATGAATGACAAATTACTCAGGCAATCAGAGAAGAGATTGAACTTACCAGAGCTACTGCCGCACAAACCCCAAGAAGTTGGGACCAGAATGGCAGGGAGAGGTCCGACGGTGAGCGTGAGGCTACCACTGCTGTCGGCCGTGTACGAGGTGCCGGCGACGGCATCGCAGACGGCCTGGCTGGCGGTAAAGCCGGGCACGGTGGCCGACGAGCTGGAGCCCGCGTTGGTAAAGACGCCAATCACGTCGGCCTTTTTCATGGCAATGACGTGCGAGTCCGAGTACGTTGGGTACGCCTGGTACGCCAGGTAGGTGCTCGATTCCTTGGCGACAGCCGTGTTGCGCACCTTGTTGATGGTCGTGATCCACTTGTACAGGTCCGAGTTTGTGTTGTACCCCGATGTCCAAAGAGCCTCGCGGTTGTTGGGATCGGCACCGCCCGAGTACTGCTGCTCTTGGCCGTAGTAGATGATGGGGATACCTGGACAGAGCAGGTTTTAGTGGCTGAGGATCGAGACTCAGTGGGTTGTGGTTTACTTACCATCATTGAGAATCGTGAAAGCAATGGCCTACGTAAATAAAAGGTCACGTGTTGATCACAAAGTATGGTCCCGTTATGCTTACATTCTTGATCAAGTTCTATCACGACATGTTAGCTCAGTCAGAAAATCAGTAATAGAGAGAGGGTCGTACAGTGTTGCTTGTCAACGATGCGAACCGGACTTGGTCGTGATTCTCCATAAAGGTACCGAGGGTGTTTGTTTTCACTGCCAAAAATCAGTACCAGAACAGTCGGTTATACCTTGTCGTGAACATACTTGAGCCCTTGAGAGTATTGATACCGTTGACCAGGTCACTGATTGAACCCGAGGTCGACTGGAACGCGCGTGTAATCCAGTAGTACCTACCAGGGAGGATTAATAAACATAATCTAGGTAAAGGTCTGACAAGACTCACAAAGGATAGTTTTCCAAGCCATCAATGTAGTTGAGCCAGTCTGGAAAGACGCTGGGGTCACCGTTGTAGACCTCGCCCATGTTGTAAACGCCCGAGGCATCGACCCAGCCGGGCCAGAAGGATTTCTCAACGTGCTTGGTGCTGTCCATGCGCAGGCCGTCGATGCCGTACTTGGAGATGAGGGGCGTGATCCACGCGTTCCAGGTGCTGCGAATGTCGTCGTCCTCGGTGCGGAGGTCGGGCAGGCTGGGCGCCCCCGTCACCTCCCAGCACTGCTCAATCGACGTCTCGGAGTTGTAGTCAATGTCGCAGGGCGTGTGGTACTCGCTCTGCTGGTTAAAGGGTGTGTAGATGCTGTAGTCGACACTGCTGCCCGCGTTGGGCGAGCCCATGTGGTTGGTCACCACGTCGACCATGAGGTACTTTAAGTCATGTTAGAACGGCATATATTCTAGAATCATCGCTCAACATACCATTCCACGGTCGTGCAGAGCATCTGATAGAGCAATCAGATCATCAGATGTACCAAAGTTGGAGTTTACGGTTGTAATGTCCTGGGCCCAGTATCCATGGTATGACGTTCTATAAATTCAGGCTTAGCTTGATCATCATATTTTGCAGCATCAGTGAGTGAGGAAGTCATACCCTCCAGAGCCCTCGAGAATGTTTGTGACAATGGGCGAGATCCAAATCTAGATGCCTTGTCAGAATATGTTTCAACTGGTATTCTCGCACCTATTTGGCTTACCGCTGTAAATCCCATGCCCTGGATATAGTCCAGGTGGTTGATGATGCCCTGCCATGTTCCACCACAATACTGGCTCAAGTTGCAGCCGGCAGTCGTGGAGCCATCGGTGCGCGCAAAGCGATCAGTGACGATCTGGTATATGGACTGCGATTCCCACTGAGCAGCAGTCAGGGCCTGGACGGCCGAGGCCCATAGGGCAGAGAGAGCAACGTCCGATCTCATGATTGTGGAGAGAAGTTGGGAGGTGTTCAATATCTGTCAAAACGAGGAAAGGGATCGTCCCAGTCGAATGGGAGAGAGTATATAACTTTCTGGAATCTGCGAGCGCTCGGGACCGACCTGCTGCTGGTGAGACATCCAGGTCCACAGAAGGAAGAGGCTCGTGGAATATAGCGTCTGTATATAGTAGTCAGGACTATCCTTCAATCACGGGTAGCGTAGCGGAGCCGCTCGGCAGCATTCCCTTTGGATTGCAGCTTGAATCCTTGCCATGAAGATTCCCTTTTGTTTTCACAAGGGTTGTGGGGTATTGAAGAATGAAAGGGCCATTGGCTGTAACCTTTACGGTGCAAGAGAGTCCAATGAGAGCTCACTGAAGTGCGCACTTGGGGGTGGGCACAACATGAAAGGAGGCATTAACCTGCCCAAGCCTGTCGCCGAACTGGTCTTGGCCCGAACGTGTCACGGCGACCTGGTTTCTCTCATTTCTTCCGCGCGCCCAAATCCCATGAACGAACCATAGGATAAATCAGATGGAATAATAGGGTATCACGAGCCACCAGGGGAATGGCCCCTCATGCAAAACTCTCAAGTTGATTGATGGGCTTCCCTTATTACAAGGTTCGGGCCTCTCCCTCTCCGGACTAGGTGCTACCCACAAGCAAAGACAAGAGTCTGCCCAGTAACCTCGATTTGGCAGCTGAGCCCATTACCATGCCCCATGTTTTTTGCCATGCCATGCTTATGCCAGGCACGCTTTTCATGATTCCCCGCTCTGCATCTGTCTCTTTTGGCACTCCCCACAAAACTCCGCCATGTCCATCCTCCGTCCCCGACTCGATATTGCCCATAATTGGGATTCCCGACGGCCGCTTCTGCGCCATCGTGACCCCGAAAGGAGAGAGAAAAGGACCGAATTGGCAACGTAGCGCTTGGGTGCAACATCTCTAGCAGCGTTACATTGTGTGGGGGAGGCTTTTCGCTTTCCGCAAGTCACTATTCCCAGAATGCATCAAGTTTGGGGGCAGATTGGACACAGAACTACACAAAACCAAGAGCAAGGCCATCAGCCAACTAACCTAGCTGTCAATGCCAGATTTCCCCAGAAATACAACTCAAGATGCAGCCATGTGGATCACGTCCAAAAGAGCTACCATGACGTCGATCCGGCCGTCTTTTGATTTAGGAAATTTGATCAGTCGATTGTCAATTGTGTTTTTTTTTCTTCCATGTCTGGGATAGATAGCTTGGAAGATCGGGTGACTTGCTTTTCATTGTTGACATGTGATCACAGGCTCAAAAAGCACAAAAGCAAGAGATCTGCATTCTAACAGTTTTGATATATTCAAACAAACGCAAAAGGTTTTCATCATTTTCATGTTCTCTAGCATTACCGAGTAGTATATAACATATAAGGATAATCTCTTTTTGACTGGCTATTCATGCTGCATGAAATCCTGACACATCACCTTCAGTTCGAATCCTCCGTGGTTACTTGACTAGATCTCCATACTATACTATAGTAGATACGAAAGCGACCAAGAGCAGATCTTTCAGGGATTCTCCTCACGAGCCGTGATAATCCCCGGTAAGGTAGCAAGTCTGGCTCAAAAGACACACACACACCCCATTACTCCGCAGCGCGAATTGCTTTTCTCTACGAAATCGGAGTACGTCCCGCCCAGCTTTCGGCAAGACAGCCCACATTAGGGCCCGTCCAGAGTGTCATTGGGCAGCGTGACAACAAACGCAATAGCGCGTGGCATCCTGGTCCCGCTGTGTACTTGCTTGCGCCGAAAATAGCTTCAATGGACAGAGTTTCTCCGCGAGTCTCGTTGTTTGGTTGCCCGTGGGGCACAAACATATAGGCCCGATTAAACGGCCGCTCGCACCGTTCATGTTGTTCGTGATGTGTCTCAACATGCTTAAACGCTGACAGTACCTACCTGGAATCGTGGACTAAACGGTAGAGCCTCGGCGCTTGGTGATTTTGACTTGTCAAAAAGAGTCACATCGAGCAAGAGATTCGTCATCGAGCTCCGCCATTGCTTGGCTAGTCGACTGATAATGACCCGAGTTGCTTGCTGAGCTCTCTGCGCTGCGCCTCATGGTGTTGACGTTCGGTCCGACTTGATGAGTTGTTGATGTTCTGCAAACCTGCTTTCCCATCTAAAGAATTCATGAGACATGGAAATATTACGGATTCCACAACATTCACCTACGGCCGTCGATATCAAGACTCGAGATCGACTAGCAGAGAAGAGTGGTTATATTGATCCCGCCGTGATCAAGACAAAGTACCCCAGACCATGTAGGTCATTCGCATGTGGTCCCAAACATTCCATCAATCAGCTATAAACCTATTTTGTAGATTGAAGGGCAACACTACCTATGCATCCGCATTGTGTTTTTGCACTTTTGGTACACTCTCCCCCCGACAAACCCTCACCGGTTACGGATTCGACTTGTTCGTTCCTGGTGTGCTCATATTCATGAAAGAAAACGAGCTGTCCGTAGACGCGTCCTGGGGAGACTGTTGCTTCCCTTCGGGAAAGAAACCAAAAGATGTCTCCTCTCCAAAATTAGCGTTCTGGGTATAGTTCTCAAAGGCAGCCTATACAAGAAATCAGTCAATATCCATGTTTGCTTAGGCACGAATGGATCCTACATACCCAATCAAAGTTCTGATCTAGCGGCATGTCACTAGAGTTTCCGAGATTATTAAACATGGAGAATGGAGATGCAAGATTGTTGGCTCCACCAGAAAAGTCTGTCTGAAAGACGTTGGGGCTAAATCCAGAGCCCATATCTCTCATTCCCAGGTCCAAGGGAGGGTAGGTGGAACCGCCGGGAGACTGATAGTTCGGCGTTAATCCGGACGACATCATGCCTAGAGTCATGGCTGCAGAATGTTCAGGCTGCATGTCGGTCGATCCAAAGTTCCCAAACAGGTTCTCCTGCTTCGTGGGATCCAGGTTCATGGTTGTTGGGACAGCATTCGGGTTCTTGATTCTCTCGAGCATGATGTCGAGAATGTTGGCAGCCTTGTACGCCTCGACCGAGTCCTGTGTGAGGGACTTCCAGATGTCCCTTACACTTTCCAGAGCACTCATCATTTCGGTTCGTTGTTCCAGAGTCCAGAAGAAAGCTGCTTGAGAGTCCTGCCTTTCGCCCGAAGTCCGAGCAATATTGTCGTGGTGGAGGTCAAGTGCAATCAACATGGTTGGCAGGAGAGTGTCCTTGGACGTAGATTGAACATACCACCTCATGGTACGTAGCCGGCCAGTCGGCTGGCATTCCCGGTTGATGGTACGCAGGTGAGCCAAGGTCTCCAGGGATGCCTCGACAGCACTGCGCCGTGAATGAGCATACCGGGGATTTTGCCTCGCCCTAATCATATGTTTCCTGTGCAGCATGCACATGATCTTCAGATAGAGAAGGTTGATGTTGAAGCGCGCAATCAGTAATGTTACTGGATCATGCGATCCTTCAAGTGGGTGCATCTTTAGGTGTGGTGGCAGCTCGTCTAGAATCTCCCGCAGCCTCCTGTCATGGCCAAGGATGTCATCATATGTCGCTTGCCTACCGACACGTGTCACTGTCTGTAGGATATTACCAAACTCGTTGCAGAGACTGGTTTTGGCAATCATATAGGCAATCGGAGTTGGTTCCGTGATTGGCCTCGAAGGAGGTAGGACCTTGGTGTCGGGGCCAAATTCTTCATCAAAAATGTTGTGTGGCAACTTTGTGTCAGTGTCATGCTCATATATCATGGTTGGCAAAGAGACCTAGATATTGTTAGCATACCAAGTCTTTGGCTGCTTTCAATCGAAATGTCATTCTCACCTGGTATGAGAACATGATATCAGACATGCGAATAAGAGCCCATGTTCTCCGCCTCATTTCCTGTTGGAAAACTCGGTTAGCAAAGTCCTTGCCCTTCCTCATACAGGGGATTCATTCAGCTTACTCCCCGGAATGGTGTGACAGACGGGAACCATTCAGAGTCGCGGTGATAGCCCATTCGCATGGCTATCCGCGTGATCATTGATGTGATCAGCCAAAGTGAGAGATCCGCATCCCATCTCGAGGACCACTCTCCAAACAAATACAGGATCATTGTCTCCACCGTGTACTCGACTGGCTTAGTATAATCAGCGACAACGAGACACTGCACAGTGCGCAGCCGGTATTCGGCAGCCAGCTCCAGCGCCCTCCCTTTCCATTCCGGCGGCTCGTCTCCCACTTTGTGATAACTCAACATGGCCAAACATAGCATCGAGTATACCAAGCCAACCCACATGATGGATGACTTGGTGGGATCTTGCCAATGATTCCTCAATTGCTGCTGAAATGAGGGACCGTGAATAATACTAACGGCGGTATCGAGCGAGTTGAAATAGCGTGATACCAACGTGGTAATGGCCGATTTCGATGGCAGCTCTGCCCGCAGCTCCGTTTCCGTTGTTGGCGGTGCCGAAAGCAGGAATATGGGCGAGTCCCGCGCGGTAGCTGGTTTTGAAGACATGACTCTTTCATAACTTCTTTCCAAATCCTTTTTATGGGAAGTGAAGAAGCTCTTGACTTCGGATATGTCTGCAAGCAGCGTCGCCCAATGCTCCTGTCCCATGTACATGGACTTGCCCTTGTCGGCATCCACTTTGAGTACACCGAGGGAGTTGGCCAGGTTATCTTCAACATCACTGTCGCCTTCTGGCTCATCTTTCATACTGTTCTCGTCTCTCTCGTTTCTGGAACTGCTAGTGTCAGCCACGGAAGCACGCGGGTCGCCTGATACAGATGTTGGTGCAGTGGCTGCAGCCGCCGCCGCCGCAACGGCCGACGATGTATCAATGTTGGCGCCGCCATGCATCAAACTCAGAACCAATCCTTCAAGACGATCGATGCGATTTTGCATATCATCGGGCGTGGCATTGGACGCTTCGCCTGTATTGTTTTTCCTTCGAACCGATGGACTGGCATATGTACAAGCTTGCGTGTCACCGCGCTTGACGCAGTTATCACAGTATGGGGACCCTCTATTACACTTCAGCCTTTTGGGGTGCGTTAGCCATGTGTCTTATTGATGTTCCGTACTGAGAACCTACTTTCTGGTCCTGCATGGCAGACAGCTCAGAGGCACGCGGTTCCGGCGCCTGACCACACGAAATTGCTCCTCTGGTGAGTGCCCCGACGATGAGGTAGCCGCAGAAGGTGGTGTCGGCGTCATGTTGAAAGTTGGCCAGTATTTCTAGCACAAAGTTCTGCTTATTTTGCTTGTTCAGATTGGTGCCGGTTGCACCCAATGGACTGCGCTCTGTCCGTTTCCACCAAAGAAGGCTGGCGGTAAGGTGTTTGATCTCAACAGTCCCTGAACCACTGCCTCGTCCTTCACAACGAGCGATGTGCAGATCTAACCGTAGTGGGGAGCTGCGCAGGCGACGCGATCGATCAGAATCGTTATCTCTGATCTTCCTGTTTGATCCCCGTCAGGCGATGTTGGCTGTGAGTAGCAAATGAACTGCGCTTTGCTTTCCAATTCCCGTCGAAGCCCGTGCGAATCAATGTCCCCGATCGTGAATCGCGCTCACGACGGCACCTTTTGAAGTAATCGTGACCTACTTGGGGGGACGAAGATCAGATTTAAAGTTGCTCGGCGGTGCCCCTCAGCGAACGAGTCGTGCGAAAGATGGCGGAGAGGGGACCTGTAGCGGATACCGGCTCAATTTATTAGGGGTCCGCAGGCGCATTGGTGAGACAGGTGATTAGGTCGACATATATACACTCGTCGGGAGCGGTCTCGATGCAGCGCAACGTGTCGTCTTGTCCACCTGGAAGCAAAGGTATTGCGGTGAAGTCGATGGTTCGAATTGGCGATGACCCAAGTTGGGGGTTGTAGATTGAAAGATGATCAAAGAGTCAATGTCTAGTTTGGATAATCGTATCAAAGCAAAAAGTCAGGCGGAACCTTTTTTGGTGACCTGGAACCAAGAAGAGACGGATCCAAACTGAAGCTCGCTAGGGGGAATGATTTAGTGGGAAATCATCCGCTACCCTACCTAAGTTTTTCAGATGTGTACCGCCTAGACACTGAAACCCGCATAAGAAAGTGCCGACTGAAGCGTGGAGGCTCCGCTGTGCTGCTCGGACAGACAGACAACTGGTTGGCTCTTGAATGGAATACATGCACTTCTGGGGCAGACAAGACTCCGCCCCAAAAAACCCAAGGGCTGTTAGACTACCAACTAATGTGAATGTCAGCCACATGCATATCTCAAGGTACAGGGGTATGGAAATCATCATGAATTCAGGCAGCCAACTGAATGCATCATCGTGTCGAGGTAGGTACTATTGCATGCTGCTCAAGTCAAGCCGATACTTTGACCAAGCCCATACTTTGCGTGCACTACCAGAGCCGAGTGCCTATCCAATACAACTTTTGCTCGCAAATGCGTCTGCCCAAGCCCTCTGCCGGGGGACAATGACGCCATACGTGAGCCTATCGTCTTTGGTTCCGAGCCAGCCTACGGGGTTGAACAACATTCTGCTATCTCTGTGAGTCACGTATAGCATCACCCTAGTTAAGGCTGTTGTTTAGTATGTCTGCTTTGGCCCTTTGCTGACTTGGATTAGCGCTCTGGGGAAGTTCGCACGTCTCTACCACCACATCATGTGGTGCAGTATCTCCCTACCTGCCCACCTACCTACCTAGACAAGACTGTACCACTCGATGCTCACATCGCTTCTTTATGAAAAAGATGCAGATCATTCTCCATTCGTTTGGGATTCTTCCTTTGCAGGCCACGCCGTTCCATTTTTCTGTAAATGAACATGAGTCATCAGGCTGGCGTAGGGGGGCAGGGAAAAAAAAGAAAGTCTTTGCAACCCGGACTTTACAATGTTAACGCCGTGCTTAAATCCCAAGATCTTGAACCACTTATTGACCATGACATGGAGACCAACCAACTGTATGTTGCCTCTCAGATTGTCCAAAAGTGAACAGTGGGATCTGTAGAGCCTCAAACTAAGATTGAATGAGGCCCTGGAACTTCGCCATTGTAAAACTTCTCTCTGCCTTTTGATGATATCCGTATCTCCATACATCAATCAGTACTATATGGACTACTAGTCTAGATCCACTTTTATCATCAAATCGGCAATGGACAGGATAAGAAGACTTGGCGCAATGGGATTTCGCCGTATTGTTTCCTCTTTTGATACTTCGAAGTCGTTGCGCTCATCCAATGTACCTGAAAATCTATGCCTCTGTAGGTAGGGCACTGTACACGATGTGTAGGGTCTTGCAAAGCACCCTCGGCACCACAAGTCTCGGCTGGCCGTGCCGCTGGCGTGCCACGTTCTACATTGTCCCGGGGGCGTGGGTCAGTCAGTTGCGCGCATGTTGACTTACCTAACCTACTTTCTCTTCGGGTTCGAGCCGGTAGGTGCCACCTAGCGTAGCTGAGCTGACCTCAAGCTATTCTTGGGAGCGAGCCAATTAGCTAGGCTTGCCAAAACACGTTGCGGCAGGATATCGAGCTTGTCTCTACTTTTACCATGAATTTGATAGCACTTGATCTCGCACAAAAGGACAGAGAAAAAAACAGCACAGAATTGCAATCTTGCTGGAGAAAGAAGAAGAAGAAGAAGAAGAAAACATCAAATTTTGGTTGGCCAGACGTTGTCGTTGGCGTTGAAAATATTAGAGAAAGAAAGCATTGACAAAGCTTGGTACGTTACACTTATTAGCCTCTCCAACGGCGGATGGCAGGCACATGGCAATTGAAGGATTGCCGACAGGGGTTTCGCCAGCTTCATGAACCTCCAACATTTCGCCTTCCAGATTTGCCCTGCTCAACATACGACCCGCCCATGACGGCGCGCGACTTCGTGAGATTCATCGTACGAGCTCTATAGGGTTGACGTACTCCATGGCTAGGGGTTCATCTCTGAAATAAGGGGTCAGCTTGCTTGGGATTCTGGATCATGTGCGCGCCGCCTCTCCGTCACAGTCTCATAACGCTTTGGCATCGGCGGTGATCACCTTTCAACAGCGAGTCGCACACTATTAACCAACAAAACCTCATCAAAGGGCCTCTGAGCTCAGGTCACTCACGATCCATATCGCCATGGGATCTTACGCTCGAGCTGGCGCCACCTCGCCTCTTCCTGACCATCGCATCGAGTCGGAACGGATGCTCTTCGACTCGGATGAAGAGGACGCTGATGCAGCCACTCCCGCATCTAGTCGAGATCTTGATGATGTCGAGCAAGGCGAAGCGCTCCTGGGACAGGATAAAGCAGGCGCCGAGAAAACTGTGAGACCTGGGCGCGTGAGATTCAGAGGCAACAGATCATGGTTCATCCGTCTATCGTCCGTGTTCGTGATAACATTCATGTTGCTATTCGACTTGCAGCTCATCACCAGGAAGGACGGAATTCCAGAGGAGGCTTCCGGGGCAGATGCAGACCTTGCAAAATATCTTGAGCTTTCGATGCGTAGGCCCGATGGCGATTACATATTAGCATCGGACTGGGACTTTCAGGCTCCGCCTCAGGAGCGTCATTACGACTGGACCATACTCGAGAAAGAGGGCAACCCAGATGGCGTATTCAAGCCCATGATGACCATTAATGGACAATTTCCGGGACCTCTCATCGAAGCCAATGAAGGAGATACCATCGTCGTGAACGTAAACAATCGTGCCACGAATTCGACGGCGATTCACTGGCACGGCATATTTCAAAATGGTACGGCCTGGATGGATGGGACATCAGGAGTAACGCAGTGTCCCATCGTGCCGGGTAAATCATTTCAGTACAAATTTACAGTCCACGGTCAAGCGGGCACTTGTAAGTACCACAGCGTGTAATTTCATATACTGTCCAGAGTGTCTAGTACTAATCTGTGCTTTCCCCTTCAGACTTTTACCATGGTCATCAGGGCGTACAGACTCTTGACGGGATCATTGGACCTTTGGTCATTCACAGTCGTGATGAGGCAAAGTCTGGGCCACTCTCATACGTATCCGATCGAGTAGTCCTGCTGCACGATTGGTATTATGATCCTGCCGAGGGACTGATGCGGGAGGTACTGTCGCCAGGGAATGAGGATTCGCCAATTCCAAACGCGGCTTTAATCAACGGTCTGAGCCAGGTTGACTGTAGTCTGCACCCGAACCGCCGTTGTGATGCTGCGAGTACTCTTCTCCCGACCATGACCCTGGAGGCTGGAGCCAGCCATCGGTTACGCTTCATTAACCTAGGCGGCTATGCTTGGTTTCAGGTCTCCGTTGACGAGCACACCAGCCTACCAGTAGTAGAAATTGACGGGACAGCGATCGAGCCAGCTCCAGAATCCGATATTATCCTCTCCCCTGGACAGCGATATAGCGCCATTCTGACTACTGATAAGTTCGAGACAGCCGGGCATGGTCTTTTCTGGCTACGTGCTCGCATGATCAAGTCATGCTTCTACGAGCCATCGATTCCCGAGAACGGTTCAGGCGAGGCAAAGGCCATTATTCGTTATGGCACCTCTACTGATTCCACAGTCTCGGATACAGCTGAACAAACAGCTCAAGACCTGCCAACCACGGAAAACACCAATAAAAACTATCCAATCATCTGCAAAGACATGACTGCTCGTACGCGCTACCGTCCCGATCCGGCTCAGCCTGCCCCCGAGCATGCGGACCATTCGTGGTATGTGCGGACGAACCTGGCCATTGGGAATTGGCGCCTCCAGCGCGGCGTCATGAACTCGTCATCCCTCCGGCCGGACCTCAAGGCGCCAACGCTGCACCGCGTACTCGACGGTCTCAGCGCAGGCAACACGTCTTTTAATGTAGAAGGCGTGAATTTGGCCGCGTTTGATAAACAGGAGCTCGTTGTCTCACACCGCAGCGTGCAGACTGTGGACATTGTCCTTCAGAATATGGACGAGAACAGCCACCCATTTCACCTGCATGGGCACCAATTCTGGGTCCTGGGTGCAGGCCATGGGTACTTTCCGGGATACGATAAGCTGGGTTTTGCTCCGCATGGCAAGGGTTTGCTGGATCCGGCCAACCGGACCGCCGTTGAAAACCCGCTGAAGCGCGATGTGGCCACGGCTGAGGGCTTTGGGTGGGTTCTGCTGCGGTTCGTGGCCGACAATCCCGGCGTCTGGCTGTTTCATTGCCACATGATATGGCACAGCGAGGCAGGCATGGCCATGCAATTTGTTTCGAGGCTGGATGATCTCAAGAATATGTTGATTCCAGACGAGGCTAGACAGCTGTGTGCGTCCTCCGAGAACGACTTGCGTCTGGGTGCGCCACCAAAAGATGAAATCTTTTTTGGTTTCCATAACGACTGAAGGCAAATATCATGAGTTGAGATATAGGCCTGGGGAGACCTCGCCAACATGCGCGTCAAGGACCCCAATCACATCAAGAAGCATCTTGAATGAGTACTCGATGAAGAGCAAACATATAAGCCATCCACGATTTTGGTTAATCATACATCCTTCAGCATCCAGCACCTACCAACATAGGGCATGAAAATGTATTGTAACGTTGTGGTCCAAATATCAATCAGAGAAGAGAGTACTCGGGTGGCTCAAAGAGGAAGACTATCACGGGCAAGCAGATTTTGGATATTCGAACAAGGCCATAATCTGGGGAAACATGAAGCAGCTGGTTGTATATGAAGGAGAATATAACGACATAGGACATGGCATTGAAAGTCAGCCACTGTCAATTGAATCCAAGGTAGTCATGTACAGAGTATAGCATATTCAGACACCAATCAAGTGTAACGAGCATATCTGATAGACATTGCAAGTTCGAGTTCTGCAACATCCAGTGAGTATTTGTATGAAGTGCAAGTTGTCCGATTGCGACGGCTATGAAGAACATAATGGGGCGCGGACGACAATTGTCTCCTTTGAGCTAGATCACAGTCACTTTCCCCTTGGCGCCGCATTTATACCTCGGCCGCCTTCTTCTTTTCGCCCTGGATCACAAGAATCTCCAAGCCCGTCCGTCCCTGTTTGATCAAAGCGCTTTAACCAGCCTCATCCTATAGTTCGTCATGTCATGTCTCGTCTTGTCTGGCTTTCTTTTTTGTCCTTTTTTTATAGTGTTTGATTTATCCCGTCTTTTCAGGCAGCGGCAGTCTCTTCCTTGGCCACACTGTAGGACTTGAGGAAGTCGGGGTCGTTCTCCAGTTCCTCCTTGATCTGTGTGTTGTGCACTTGTGTTAGCTTATGGTGGCCATTATAACAGGCATGTAGGACAAGGCCGGGTGGTGCTGTGATGGCAAAAAACTTACAATGTCGAGACCACCAACAAGCTCGCCATCCATCCAGAGCTGGGGATACGTGGGCCACTCGGCGTACTCCTTGAGGCCTTGTCGCACCTCGTCGTCGGCCAGAATGTTGAAGAAACCGTACTTGACGCTGCGCTCCCGCAGGATACCGACCAGCTGCCGCGAGAAGCCGCACTGCGGAGAGCTGGGCGTGCCCTTCATGAAGAGCATGACGGGGGCGGCCTTGACCAGCTCGCCCAGCCTCTTGAACAGCTCCTCCTTGGCCTTGGCGGGGTCGACATCGGTATCCATCTCGTCGGGCTGGGCCGCAGCGGCAGCGGCGCCACCACCATTCACAGCAGCAGCTCCATCAGTCTTGGTGCGGGCGTGGGTTTCAATGGCGGTGCGGACTTTGACGGCGCTGCTGCCGCTGACGGTCTCGAGGACCGTGTCGTTGCGCTGCAGGACCAGGTAGGGCACGGCCGTCACGTCGTAGGTCTCGCTGACGTCGCTCAGCTCCTCGGCGTTGAGCGACACCCAGCTCGTCTGCAGCGGCTCGGTGACGGGGTACTCGGCGGCGAGGGTGCGCAGGACCGTGGCCATTTGCGCGCAGGGTGCGGCCCAGGGTGCGTGGAACGAGATGATGAGGAGGGTGTCCTTGTGCAGGCTGGCGACGTGGGCTCGCCACTCGTCCTCGTTGGAAATCTCCTTTATCGTAGACATTTTGTGCGTGTGTGTATGTGGGTGTGAATGTGAATTGGTTTTGGTCTCTTGAAGTGTTGACAAAGACAGTGTGTGAAGGCTGAGAAAACTCTCTGATTTTATCAGATCTGATTACTATCGGAGTTGGAGCGGATGGTTAGGCGGGTTGACGGAAGCGAAACCCCTAAGGGACTTGAACTATTTCGACGTTTGCGCCTCCGAATCGCGGGGCGCCTGATTACAATTCACTGGTCATTTTATCGATCAATCAACCCCACCATCGCACGTCATATTGTACGCTTCTTATGTACTAACAGTAACCAACACCTGGTCTGTGCATAAAGATATGATTAAGTGGCCCTGTAGAAGCACAAATATTCAAACTTCAATCTGTCGCAACTGCTTCAGTTTTTAATTTATAATACTATATTGTCATTGGTAGTTTCATACGTGATCAGAAATTCATAAAGCAGCCACCTATCCTTTTGACTTCACAGCAAATACATACGCCTCTATCCCATGATCTGGCGCTGACCAGCCTATACCAATATAATGGGCTGGCATTGTTCTTGGTTCCATCGCTCTCCATACATTATCCCGTGCACATAACACGGACCTATAATTTTCCAACCTAATTCATCGCCTTGCGCCGTTCTTCGGAGTATAAAAGGAACTGAGCCTCCCTTGAGTAATGCAATAGTGTCGCCTTTCCGTGTTTCCTGGGGCAGTAGTCCAAAGTACCCCATTTTCGTCACAGCAAAGCGATAGTATGCTATATCACGAGATGATTAGCTTCCAGCTTCTGATAACTCAAGTTCGGCATGAAGAATGGGCAAGGATGATAAGCAGAGCAGATCGGGCTATGTGGTCCACGTTCCGCTGTCAAGGGATTTCTGGGAGAGTGAAAATGATTACTTACTGGCATATCCGTGAAGTAGAGTTCCTTGGCCAATCAAGAATTTCACCGAACCCCAGACCATACCAGCGACACTCTTACGAAGTTTGCTTGTATGAGAAAACCTCTTTTCCATGAACTTTTGGTCGAAAGCCTCGATTCTACTCAGCGACCGCTTCCATTGGGCATTGTGATTCGTTATAGTCCTCTCGGGATGCTCGCCTAGCCAGCTCCGATGAATAGTTGCACTGAAAGCACGATTCAGAGTCTCTCCTGTTGGGTATTCGACGCCATGTGAAAATGCTAGTCGCTTCCAGCTTATCAGTAATAACTTGTCGGTGCCAACATCCTCATGGCTTTTGGCGAATCCAGAAAAATGTTTCAGTAGAGACTTGATAAGTGTCCACGGAGTTTGAGACTTGGCTGCCCCTCTGCAACTTTTGGAGCATGGCTCTGTGACTTGAGGGTCATTCTGCTCCTTAAGACCAGTCAGTACCTCACCGATCCCATTAACTGTGTCAATCATCAGACCTGACACCATCAGTACCTTGTCGTTGATCAAATTTGGATTGCGTTCGACGCTCCCTTTACTCGCGGAGAACATTTGCGTCTGCCATCCTGGGTGTTGTGATATCAAGTCTTCAATCCCAGGCGCGGATTGAAACCCTAGGGGCCCGAAGCCATGGAGGTCAGTCTCTTGGTGGAGATCGCTTGCATCGAGCCTTAAATCCGGCACCCACGAAGGCAATTGAGGGCTTTTGTATGTAGCTTTCAGGCCGGGAGGCTTCCGACAGAGCTGCAAGATCTCCAATGAACCACTAGCCTTAATTATATCGAGCAATGCCGTACGGTAACAGTCCTCGATGCTTTGTGAGTAGTCCACTCTGACATTCGAGCTATCGCTGTCGATGCTGGCTAAACCAAGCAAGCCATAGACCTTATCACGCGGATCAGTTGCCTTGGACCACCTGCACTGACTGATCAGGTGAAAAAGTAGCCGGCTTGAATCATGATTGTAGCACATCACCACTTGCCGAGCCTGGAAAAGAACTCTTGCATAGTGTGCCGTGGCGAGGTCGATATAATGTTTTGCCCGAGGCCAATCTAGACAGGCAATTACCCCTACCAGAAGTTGGTCCCAGTATATATGAGCGTCACCGCAGAAAACGACAACATGCTTTGCCAAAGTAACCTCTTGGATGATCCAGACCCTCGACCTGGCCAATTCAACGTGTTAGAAGTCATTCAACTGGAGGAGGAAAAAAAAAAGGAAAAAAGAGAAGAGGGGGAGTACTCGAACTACGTACCACCATGGTCTCGTCAGTATATCGTGAACAGCTCTCATCTCTCTGATAATTGTCCGGATTCCACGATATTTGAAATTTATGCTCTTATCGCCAAAAACATTTGTGAGTGGTGTATACAAAGCTTTTATCCTTTTGCTAAATTCGCGTGAACCCGCTCTTCTTTGACTTCTTGTGGGAGCTCCAGTCTCCTGGCCCGATAGTCGATGGCAGACCCGAAAAGCCAAATCACTATTGTCGCTGGCCGGCCCCAGCCAGACAATGACTTCCACGGCTTGGCGGTAGATACTACCCATCAACATAACCTGAGCTTGCCTCTCTGCATGGTTGCTCTGATTTATGCAGATACTGTCAATCCAAAAGGTCAAAGACAAGTCATTGGCCTTGCCCTTGGAGAGTAGGCAAACCAGGGCTGATGCAAGATTCCGAGTGACAGACAATTGAAAGCCATTGCAGATGATATCTGATGGTCTGCTTGCGTCGCCCCAGCAGTAGGACAAAGCGCGGTACTCCGGGCCATCGCTCAATCGCACAGTATCGAGACGACATTCAATCTTGCCGGTTGTCTTGTCAATGCCCTCAAGTGTGACCAGTCGTATCTCAACTCCATCTCTGGCCTGGAGATCATCATATAGTGTCGCCATTATGCCGGTGCCAGAAACACATGACGAAAACTAAATTGGTCGAGAGCTCTCGTGTCAGAACACAGCCAATATACATATGCAAGGGGTAGCATGGCAACATTTTGAGACAACGATGAAGTGCTGACTTACCTAGGTCAGGTATGTAACGAAGTCGCTGACCCACAATGCAACGGACCCTGGTCAAATCATCCACGTTGGTTGATCCCCCTGGGTCAAGCGAGCTTCAGGCCCATGGCTGCAGCTATACTCGGCGTTTAGAGCCTCGATGTGGGCGCCTGAAGATGGCCAACACCAACTGCAGCGGCAAGAGTTCCAATCGCCGTTATAACGGGCCTGGCAAACCATTTCAACAAATGAGAATGGCACAAAGTTTGAATAAAAAAGTACAAGTCCATATCAGTACAACGATAAATAACGTTATCATATAGCTTCAAGAACTATATACTCGTTTATGGTGTATAGTCTTGACAGGTGATTTGGCCGCTTTATTAGTTTATGGTCGACCTCATGCGCATTAGGTAGACCATACCATACATACTCTTCACCTGAATGTGACCTGATAGACTGGAAGCTCATCGGAAGTCATTTGTAGAAAAACTACAATATTACCACGTCAAGCGTTGATAAGAGGAAATCACTATTACTGCATTTGAAGAATGACCACGAACCTTCTCGGATTCAACTAGAGAGACATGCACGAGTGCTCCTGCCGTCTTCATTCATTCCATGACTCTAATTTCATCACGGCTGATAGTTCGATGCAGATAGCTAGAGTGTTTGTGTCATCAAAGAAGTTCTCCGTCCTCACATGGCGGACAGGAATTAGCTGGGTTTAGGCAGGAATCATCACCATTATCGGAAGCCAAGGGTCGCCGCATTGCGTCATTGGCACCACTTTTCAAGGGAGCAGAGAATCAAGCATGCCTACACCAATCGCATAGGCTGACATTGCCCCTCGTCCCATTGCTCACCGTGCATGATTCCATGTACATAACATGGACCTATGAGCTCCCAGCCCGCGATGCCAGACTTCAATGTATGTCGAAGTACGAAAGGGACCTGTCCACCTTTCAAAAGTGCAATCGAATCTCCTTCTCGTGTCTCGGGCGGTACCAGTGCGAAATAGCCCTGCTTCGTGATGCTGAAGCACTTGTACACTATGGCAAGACTCAACGTTAGCAAGGCCGGAAGAGAATTACAATGAGCAACCACTCTTCAAAGAGGTACGTAACTTACTCGCTTGCCCAATGAAATCTATTTCTTCAATCTTGAACAAAGTTGAAATGCAACATATGAGACCTGCTAGGACATGCCGGAGTCTGCTCTGTGGCCTCAGGCGCCTGACAAGATAGCCACGGTCCAAAGTCTCAACTTTGCTCAAAACTCTCCTCAACTCAACTTCGTACTGTTTCATCATCTCTTCAGGATCAGTTCCAAGTCCGCCTTCGTACATTGTGCCAACAAATGCTTGCATTGGTGTTTCCTCCGTCGGATAAGCACCTTGCTGGGATAATGCAAGTCTTTTCCATTCCGTTATGCGCAACTTTTCCTGGCCAAATTGGCAGAAATTATGGAAATTTCCTCCCAATCCTGTCCAAGAAGCCTGCCATACAGTCTTAACAATGTTGTTTTCTGCGAGCGTTTTGCAGACATGATGGAATTGCTCCTGGAATACGTCGACGCATTCTCGGCGAGTGGATGCCTTGAGCAGAGATCTTGCTGCCTTCACTGCGAAGCGAATATTCTCTGCCTCGACCGTTGCTCTTCTAATATGGAGGTACTGCTGGTGCAAAAGTGGATTTCCCTGTGCTTTGATGCCCGTTTGCGCTTCTCCCATGGTTTGTACCTTATCGAATACAAACCCTCTGATGACCAGGACGTTGTCTTCTTTGCTCTCCACATCATCTCGAGCAATTCTGCTATCGCCGCTTGCTGAGAAGCATAGTGAACGCCATTGTTTATTCCAAGGGTTTTCCGCGGAACAAAGCTTGTCAATGTCGGGCCAGGATTGCACGCCAACGGCACCCAACTTTGACAGATCAACTGCCGGATCAACATCATCTGCGTCTAGTTGCAGAAATGGAACCCAAGAAGGTAGATCCAACGTGTTCTGAGCAGAAACAGTTCCGAGACTAGGAGGTTTTCGTGATAGCTGGAGTATATCTAGAGTTCCACTAGATTTGATAATGTCAATGATGGCGTCTCGATAACATTTCTCGACATCTTGAGAGTAGCTCAGATTAGTCAGTGGGCCATCTCGTCCAGCGGCTACTAGTCCTAGTAAGCCATAAATCTTATCGCGAGCATTTGTCGCCTTCGACCACCTGAATCTGCCAAGAAGATGCGTGAGAGAGTACGTCGGCTGCGTCACAGCACCTTTGCTGTAGATAACCGCATGTCGAATCTGGAAAAGCATGTTGGCGTAATGTACAGTTGCCAGGGCTAAGAAATCAGCTGAAAAGGGCCGTTGCATACAAGCATTAATGCCAACATCAAGAGTGTGCCAGCTGATGCTGTCATGGCCACAAAGAACGACTAGCTCTCGCGCCAGAGTTATCTCTTGGATGATCCACACCCTGGTCCACCAGGGACGTCTGAGGATGGCATGGATTGCGTCAAGTTCCCGGATATAAGCTGTGATTGCTCTACTGCTGAGTCGTCCCTTCTCATCGTAGATGATGTGAGCATACGACTCCATAGAGCTCCAGCGGACCCCTTTTGCCACTTTGTACTTCATCTCTTTGGCCGAGGACAATCCCGTTTTGCGCCTCAAATCCTCATCGTATAGTCGTTGACAAGCACGAAAAGCCAGGTCGCTGTGATCAGCCGCTGGTCCAAGCCAAACGACAACCTCTTTTGCCTGGCGATAGATATTACCCATCAAGGTAACTTGGTGGGCCCGCTCCATAATATTCTCTTGGTTGATACAAATGGCGTCAATCCAAAAGGTGAGAAAATCGCTAAGTGGCTTGCCATTGCGGTTGCGAAGCAAGCATTTCAGGGCAGCAGTCAAGTTTTCAGTCACTCTGAGCTGAAATCCGTTGCACTCGACCAACGCAGGCGGTTCTGCATCTCCCCAACAGTAGGACAAAGCGCGGTACTTTAGAGAATCGCTCAAAGGCACGGTATCGAGACGGCAAACTACCCGATCGGTTACTTCGTCGATTCCCTCCAAGGTCACGAGTCTTATTTCGACAGTGTCTGTGATTCGAAGCTCGTCGTATAGGCGGCCCATTGCTGCATTGCATCAACGCGTTTATTGGAGACGAAAAAATCCGTGAGCCCCAATATCCTAACTCGGGATCGATTGAGACATATTTAGGAGAAGAAACTATTATGGATCTCCTCGACGACGAGAGAGACTCATGCATATTTGGGTGTTGGTCTGCGGTGCAGATACCCTGCCCATATCTTCTGCTTTGATTGGTTCTCCTTGATCAAGCGAGGTTCGACCCATGGCTGCAGCGGGTTTGAAGGGTCCACCTCAAACAATACTCGGCGCTTAGGATTCGATTCTTGGCACGTGCATTGTTATGTCTGCGCATGGATGAGCATTGTTACAATTCAAAACGTGTAACATGCTCAACTCCAATTTACTGTGCTATGGACTTACGACTCCGTTGAATTCCATAAGCTTGAGTTTAATAAGACATTCCACTATGAAAGGCTAGAGTATAGCGCAGGTTTTGGAGTTGCATCTATGAACGCGATACGATCTCTATAATCCATCAAATTTCAATAGCGAAAAATTCATCACTCAGGTGAATTCAGAAGTTTATTGATCTGTATTCAGCCCTAACATGCCTCTGATGGCTTCATTCTCATGCCACGTGCCCTGTATTCTCCGCAGGTCCAAGCATTTGGAAAAAGCAAGCTGCTCTTCCGATACACTTCCTAAGGTCAATGTCTCGTCAAATTGAAGGACCTCTCTGAGTAATTGATCGCAGATACCATGACCACCTATTGCCTCTCGTAGCCACACGGTCTTCTTCATCATACCGAAGAGTTGACCAGCAAGACATATCCATACGAGTACGGGTATTTGATCCGTGCCGAAAGGGTTCAGACGCTGAGCAGATAGGATGAACAAGAGATGTTTTGCCAGCAGGCCGAGCAGAATGCGGTCGTTGCAGGGGACGTCTAGCATGAGTTCTTTGAGGTACATGAGGACCAGTATTCGTAAGGCTGTCTCGACAGCCTTAGTGGTCGTATCGGGGGGCCAGATGTGCGCCGACTCGGATATTGGAAATGGCCGCGCATGTACAGATATATCAGCGGACGCGGGAGGGGATATAACCTCGTCGTATTCTTGTAGCCGTTTAGGAATTGTCAGAAGCCTACGTGACAAAAAATGAAAGTCCTCGAACATTTCGGGGCCGTAATGCTGAAAAGGCGATGGATCCTGATCTTGTTTTGCAGCATGTTCTTCACAAAACTTTGCTGTAGCGGCCAAAGTCTCTACCATTTCCGTCTCAAACTTGAAAGCCTCAAAACTGCGATAAACGGTTCGCACGGTATTCCCGGAAGCGTCCAACTTTGATATATATCGTGCCTTGCATGGGGTTCCGACAAAGGCCGTGCGTGGTTCTGTTGCAGCGGAGAGTGCGCCAATAATATCTGCGCTGAAGAGAGGGAAACTGTGTTAATAGGTGCTGGTAGCTGGCGACGTTCGCGAAGTCCAAGACGTACCATCTTATCACGTCGAGGGTGCCAGGAAATAGTCTCTCCTGCCCCCCAGCAATGTCCACAAGGTTCAAGAGTCCTTGCATATGTACATTCCAGTGCTCAGACTTGCCCTGATAGCCAGATATGATGGCCAAAGAAGCCACGGCTCGTATGGTCACATCACGGGCTTTATCGGTGCGGTCGTTCTCGCTGACTCGACGATTGACGATCGAGTACAGCTGCGAAGCAAGGGAGGTTAGTTGCGGCGTCTCGTGTCTCCCCTCTTTGACAGCATCGAATAGTGCGCCCATGGTAAGTGCACAGTGTATCGTCGTAGGGTCGTGGACCTGCCAAGTGGACTTCTCTATTATCCCTGCAGGCTTGGTTTCCCCGGGTGGGCATAGGTCCTCGGCATGGCTTGGTTTATTGTGGCCGAAAGCCAGTGCCATGAATCGGAGACGCTTAGCTGGGTCAATTCTAACTTGGGAATGGTGGCTATAAGCTGCCCATGGTGGCAATGGGGTCGGCTCTGAGGGTTTCAGGCTGTCTGCGCTGCAGGCGCTGGACGATTGTTCAGAATTGAAAGTGTCAGAGACCGTTGTTCTGGGAGAGCTCGAAGACAATCTCGTGCCGGGAGAGATTCGACTATGTGCATTTCCCCGCGCTGACGACCTTGAGCCTGTCTTGCGTCCATCTTGAGTCGTAGTCCGGGTTTTCCGCCTTGACTTTCTGCCATCGCCTCCATTGTTGACGAAAGTAAGCTCCCCAGCTGTGGGTAAGAGAGAGCCACTGGTCGATTCCGTTCCAGTTGGTGCAATATTGCTGGCGGAAGAGTTGATGAAAGCAGTGCCGTTGTGTTTCTGTTTCGATACCTTGAAACCTCTCCGCGTCGAGATCATGGCACCATCCTGAATGGTAATGTTGAAATGATCCATGGTGCTTTGCTGCCTGTTCGTCGTAATGCCATGTACGAACTTAAAGGTGAAAAGGTCGCTTCATAACTGTATAAGTGTACGTTACATGGCAGATGGGAGATTTTTTGGGGACTGTGGAAGTCTAGACATATATCTTGCTTATGAGATCATTCTCCAAAGCAGCCAATAAGGGACAGAGGAGGACCCATACTCAATGGTGTTAGTCATCGACATATGGGTCAACAGAAAGTTTCCAACGATCTCCGTTGACAAACAGGGTATTATCCGACAGGGGATCAAGACACAAGTCAGGGCTGTTGGTCTTGGACCCGATAGATTGGATGGTCGGGAACAGGGAGTTGCAGGCAGCGTCAAGCATGGTTCGGGGAGGGCGCCTTGAAGAGAGCTTGAGGGAGTTCCATGTCGGTGCTGACGACTCAACCGTGTGGTAGTATGGACCCGGGGACTGACGCCAATATGTAGGCCTGATAAGGCTGAAAGTATTTTGGTCCTGTCGGAGCATTGCGTGGACCAGAGCTCTTGAGCATGATCAAGACTAAGGGACCTTACATTCGCCTGCCGGGACGCTGACAGCCACTCGTTCTGGGAGTCGCTATACCCAACATGGTATACTTTCCGCATTCGGCAATAGTCTAATTTGATGCAGCTTCGATTATCCCTGCCGAAGGATGCGGTCTCTGAAATAAAGTGGGATGTTTTCAGATTTTGTGAGTCGGATTTTCACCAACCATTGTGAAGGAAGATTGACTAATGCCTGGTCCTTTCGAAATCCCGGGAATAATATACGATGACGACGGAACGTGGTTGACTATGCCTCAATACTTACCAGGCAACATATAATCACAACGCGACGACACCCTGTAAACGCGCTCCCAAATAGACGACGCAGGTGTCAGCTAGGGACCAAATTATCATCCTCTTGCCATGGTTGTCACTCGGTTGTTCAAAAGTCTCCGGAGCTAAAGGATGCGTGAGGAAATGTCACATTTAAGTCTATCTAGCCGAGAAAAGTGATAGACAATGACCTCGCGCTACGTGGACCTTGATATGTCTCAGCGACAGTCCAGAAGTGACTATCAAACTATAGTAAAGGCTTTGTGACAATACAAGGCTTTACAAAGGGAAGGGGAGAAAACCAAAAGAAAAGGGCTACAAGGATAGTACGAATGGTAGTAATACAACAATCTAGGACATTTAATAATCAAAGACTTGGCGTGAGTGAAAACTATTATGCTACCTCGGGAATAATTCCATTATAACTTGGCGGCCCCCAAAACAATAATAGTATTGAGCATATGACACTGGCCAAGACATTGCAAATCATGATTAACACAGTCATTGGTCATTATCAAACCTTGCCTTGGGAACGACAGATGATTTGTGCTGCAAGATAGGCAAATATAGATTTTGCAATCTTCTAGTGTGCATAGCCCATCTACTGCCACAAGCCAACTACCAGTCGGAGCATCGGAGAATCGGAGCATCATGCAGTGAAGTTATCAGTCATTCAGGAACTAAAAGTAGAACCGACCAGGTAGCTCGGATAGCCTCGCATTCGGCAGAAGGTTTAAATAGTAGCTAGGCCGCTCTGGCTCGCTTCCGTAGGGCTGACCACTAAATCTAGCGACCATGACCACTCCGCTCATGATATATCCTTGCTGCGGCGTTCGTGAAGACACCAATAGAGATTTGCCTTTCATGGTGAGGTTCAAAATAAACGTTATGCATGGCGAGTTCGGCTGGACATCCATATAACAACTGTGATCAATTGTTTCTGGACCAAGTCAAGATTGACCAGCTATGCTGTTAGAGTTCGTTCATTCCATCATTATAACCCTGTCACAAAGATCCATACTATGTTGCCATCTTGCCATGACCGTCTGATTTTAGGTGGGCAGTATTGGCATGACTTAGTCCCTTGTCTCCAACGTTGGAAGTGTGTTTCCAGCCACAACTGCCGTTCAGCTTCTGTCATTCCCAGAATCTACCAGAAGATTAATGTACACATAGTTCTGTTCCTACACTAGCAACACCAAAAAAATACATTAGACTCTTTAGGGCTAATGCATCACATCACCCAAATATGGTATCTCAAACAAGCAATGGCATGCCTATGACAGCTTGGATATTTCAGAGGTGCAAGTCCTGTGTGGATTTTGTATTCTCTGCTTCTTGAGTATACGTACAGCTCAAATACTGTATTTTTCGAGTTTAAATAATTGGAGTCCACGATTTCATGGATATCAATGCACGCTGTTTAGTACTAGAAATTGTCAAATCTGAGAGACTTCAAAATGATCTCATGGGAATGGGAAAAGGTGCCACAGGCATCACGGTAAGGTTAAAAACATTTCCTAGAAGTATGGAAGTCAATGCGGGCACAAACGACAACGTCAATCCTTGCAACTAACTGCCTCGACAAAGTGATGCTCAGGTAGCCATCATTAAAAACCACTCACCAGCACGTTGTTTGTTGCGACTTAGCACGGGTATGGAAGGAAGATTTAAATTTCTGAATGGCATGTCTCCTTAGACAGAGCATATGAAAAAATATTTAACTACATATCATGCTATATACACGCAAAATACTTCCATGATTCACCAATCTTATTATGAAGCTGTGTTGAGCTTGGGAAGGTCATACTCGAGAGTATTCTCACTATCATTTCATAAGAATGTGGCGCAAGATATTAAGAGTGACACCCGAGCGCACAATCTCCTTCTACGAGGTTGTATTTTCACCGAGTGATGACAGGACTTTATCCCAATCCTCGACATCATCCGATCATATTCTCGTGTGGCTAGGCACATAACGCCATTTGCAGATTATCGTCATGTCAACTTGTGTTTCTGCTATCGTCGTTGCGGTATTTCGAAATTCATCTCATTGAAACTCGCTTGTGAGCTTCAATCGATCTGAATCAAGAAGGGGAAAGTGTCATAATCGTCCGTAGAGCTCTGGATGATATGATAGGCCCAGAGCCACTATTGATCAATCACTGTGTTTCCGTTGGTAATCCAGATGAACACCCACAAAGGAAGGATGATCAAGAAATAATACACGCGTTCAGAGGAGGATAAACCGCACCTGTAAACCTCAGAGGCCAAAGGTGTATGGCTTGGTAAAATCTCGGTTACAGCAAAAAGCTCATCCCGGACATCAAGGCAAAGTTCCGGGAGTCGTACTTAGTAGGCGTCTATATATAATCCGAGATGCATATGATCTAGTGAGAGCATTCGAGTAATTAAATCATAGTTGGGGCTATCACGCCATTACCTTGTCACATTTGCGCTCCAATAGGCTCTCGGGAATTTGTGACAGCCCTATTGAGAAAGCAGGGAACGGCGTTTCTTTATTGGGCAAGGCTGGTTGCATATCTCCTATAAATGTTTCGACGGCTACTGAATCAAGACGTCGGGTTATTTGACTGAGAATTGATCACGCTTCAGGAAGTCTCCTTCGAAGACGCCGAGAGCAATGAGAAGTGAAGAGTCGCAGTCTAGAAATATACACAGAAGGATTTTCACACCAGTTGCAATGTTGGACTCAGCAGAGAAGTAATTCAACGTTTAGTGGTATATTCAATTGACTTCCAAAAAAAGGAGTAAAACAAATTCATAAGCCCATGTTGACCCCCCAAACGCAATAAAATAAAAGTATCCTCGCAAGGGAGGATTGTTTGCTTGCCCCACCACTATCATGCATGTTCGTCTTCCATCACCAACCAACAAACTGAAACTCTTTCAAATTCATCGATTGGGCGTATGGCCGAACATGTTCCTGTCCTATATCAGCCCACGGCCTGCTCATCTCATGAGCCAGACCACTGCGCTACCACTCGGACGGATCGTAGTTCGACAGTGTTTCGACAGCATTGTAGCAGCTCTCGATTTGTTCTTGATGAAGTTCACAGACTTCATAGCCTGTCTCAGCGCATTCAATGTGTTGCGTTTATAGGCAAAGTTCGCAGCAGTCGGCGCAACATTCGCAGCCCTCTTCAATGACACAGCAACAGCAAAGGGCTGCCAAACAGGTACCCAAACAGCCTTTGCCGCCGCCGCTGCTCTGCTGTTGCGGAGGGGGCTGTTGCTGGTAGCCCATCTGAGGAGGGCCCTGCTGGTAGTACTGTCCCTGAGGAGGACCGTATTGTCCCTGGGGAGGGCCGTACGACTATATTCGCATGTCAGTCAAGACCTCGAAAATTAACCGTTCATTGTCGCAATCGATCCGTCCGAGCTGCATTGTTTTCTGAATCTTCTCGCGACCGAGAATTTCCAATGAGCTTGGGATATAGTCGGCTATGCGACTATTGCTCGAAGGTCGATTGCGCAAAGAAAGGGCGGCTTGGGGTGCTAGAAACGTACAGGCTGGGGTTGCTGGGGGTAGCCGCCGCCGCCGTAACCCTGAGGAGGGCCCTGGTTGTAGTACTGCTGCGAGGCCATTGTCCTTTGAGGGCGATCCTGTGATTTTTCTTGATCTGAAGAGAGGTTGCGATATCAAACGTCAGCAACGCCAAGCACGACACAAAAATACAGTACGGGAAGAACCACAAGTATTTGGTTTCGCGGGGTCAAGGGAACGAAAATATGACAGAATGGCCGGTCCAGTCCGTCTTTGCTTGTCGTCAGCAGCAAGAGGGAGCCGGGCGAGCGAGCCAAGATCTCCTTAGTGAGAACCGGCAGGCTGGGGCGATTGGACTGGACTTGGCCTGACTGCCAAGCCGGGCAGAGCGGAATATAAGACGTACCTACAGCTAATGTACGGTATTACTGAGGAAGGGGGGATGAGAAGCTTTCGCGGACAGCAATTAGCAAAGCCGGTGATGAGAGCGCAAGCGTCGACTAGTCCAGGCTGACCGAAGGGTTGGGAAGATTCAGGAAGGGGGAAAGGAAATAAAAAAAGAAGAAAAGTTTCAAGTGTAGAGGCGACAGCGGCGGGAACGAGGCGACGTAAAGGAATGACACTTTGTACGTACTTTGGGGCAGCCGAACTACTAACGGTGACCACTGACCACTACACTTACCCGACCTTTCCTTACCTTTTTGTTCGCTTTTACCACGGGGAAGGCAAAGGCGCTTTGGGAGGCCCACGAGCGATTGACCGGGGTGTGGGACCGTCTGTTCTTGTCTTTGAACACTGACTGTTGCCCATCCATCAGATCAAACCCATGTCGATTCTGTTCATATGGATCATCGAGTTTCAGCGGCGTGTGGAGGGGCAATTGTGCAGCTGTGCCTTGCTGGGAGCTTGTGTGAGCCACTGAGACCTTGGGACCTTGCTGGGAATAGGCATAGGCCGCGGGTCCTCCGTCGTGCAAAGTCCCCTAATGCAAGTTGAGAATGGGCGAATCGCAAAGCGCTACTTGGAAGCTTTTCTCTTCGGAGCCCACACTGATCTTGACTGACTGATGAGTCTGAGCCAGCCTGGGAGTTGGGAACAGACAGGATGATGCGTCTTTTTGACTCCACACCATCTCAAATTATCGATGCCAGTTTTTAGAGCTAAGGTACCTACCTGCCTGGTAGCAGGTAGTTGGTAAAAAATATTAGCTTGTATCTAATGTACTACTATTTAGCTGGAGCTCTCCCAGCTGGTTTGTTTCCTTTCCCCGGGGCTGCCCTGCGATTAAAGGCATATCGGGTGGTCCTCGTGATGGGTCGGGCAATCAGATGGGCTTTTAGGGGACGTGTCCCAAGGACAGATCGTGGGTTTGTAGTGGTCCGTAGGGGTCAAGTTTGGGCCATTGTACAAACGTAGATCATGCAACAAGCCGCCTTTCCACATAAGCCCGGCGGCGTCACCGTCCTCTCTGTCCGCTGGACGGGCGTTGGGCTGTTTCGGCACTCGCACCGCTTGAAGAAAAAAAAAAAAGATAGTTGAGAAACCTTGTACCAAAGCAGATACCCGTGGACATGAGAGCTAAGCTATTGCCTACTACGATGGGGTAAGTACAGAGTAGTGAAGTCATGGTGGCTCAGCTGTACACGTACGTGTGCACACACACACACTGATGACACTGAATAATTGCAGTGGTTGTTACCGAACCTAGAACATCACCATGGTGAATATCTCAACTGCTCATTGCGATTTGCGACAACTGTTATGTGAGTACCAGGTTCCTCTGCGAGTCGCGCAGCTCCTCATAATATCGGACCCATGGCCACTGTCCACATACGGATGCCGTTCTGCCGTTACAGCCCCGGATGGTACGCAGGTACTGTACAAAGTACCTAGGTACGAGGTCAATCAGTCCATCAGTGCTTGATGAGGTGCCTTCAAGGACTCGAAATCCTGCACAAGAAAAGAAAGAAACAAACTCCACCAAAGCCACGGTATTGCTTTTTTAGCCCCATGTCGCGCTCAAGATCCGATATTCCTCTTCCTCCTAAAACCCCCAAACTCTCGAACAAAAGTCTCCCCCTTCTCCAAACCACATGATCCATTTCATGTCCCGCGTTGTTGTCCTTGGGCTAGAGGGATTTTGCCTACTGTATCATGATACGTTACCTGGAACTATCTGCTAAATCCCGAGCTCTGATCTGCGTGTATCTTTCGAACCTTTCTTTCATTCTCAGCGTATTTTTCGGGAATTCCCGAATCGCTGCTGTTCTGCTCTTGGCCGTTATGAAAATGGCCGCCCTGGTTTCTTGGCAATCTGCCGAATAGCCGTGAACCGCTAAGAAAGGAAAAAAAAGTATGGACGATTTTGCTCAAGTGAGACGACGCCTGTCCAATTGGTTGGACAAGGATAGATACTCACTAATGAAAGTGTCATTTTCCCGCCACATCCCAGATTCTAGTCCTACATAGCCAGGCCAGTCCTCCTGTCAAAAAGAGAGATCTTCCCGTTTCCAAGATCCGCGCCACATGTTCAGTGCTAAGCCACGATTTTTGTCGCAAGTCGGCGGCAAATATTACCGTGGCCGCCACAGCCACCGATGGCAATGAATACTTGGATGCGCAAAGACGTGATGAATCTTATCCCTATAGGCAGGCAGGATCTAGCAAGCTACCTGCAAGTATCTGCCTAATACTGCCTCTCTTTATGGATTTTGCCATGATCGAGTAATGCAGTTTCACAACGATGATTATATGATCAAGTGGGTGGGCAGCTTGAAGAGCATGTCAAGAATCCTCTACTTTTATAATAAATAATAGATGATGTATTTCGATGAGTCTTAAGCGTATAGCACTTGGAGGTTATGGCAAAAGAATTCCACGGTCGTCATTTAGCAATTCCAATTCTAAATCAAATCTTGGATTGCACAAGGAGAACCTTTTGTCTTGAATCTTTCACAAAGCAGGGACTGCAATTTGATGAAAGCACTTGTGTTTTGATAATCTATTCTTGCTCCCCACCTCAAAAGTGTCGCTTTTTTGGCTACAACCGTTAATGAAAGCACAATGAATCAAACCTGTGTCTACTGGTTAAGCTCGACATAGTTGGCTGGGAAAAGTCCAGATGCGCCGCCGTAGTGACCAAACCACCAATCGTCATCAGGGAACTCAAGACCAGTAATAGTCGCGCCCTCTGGAAAGCTGAGTTCTGTCGAAGACATGTTAGCAATGTATTCCTCTTTTTTTGTTTTGGTCAGGCTAGGAGCTTACCATTGTCCTCGGCAGCTTCGTAGTCGAAGCTTGCAGTAGCAGTAGCGCCGCCGCCGGCAGCAGCCTCTGGCTCCGGCTCCGGTTCCGGCACGGCAGCAGCGGGAGGCGGCGGAGGAGGTGCAGCAGCGCCAGTGGGTGCCGAATCGTCATCGTCAACAAGTTCCACATAGTTGGACGGGAAAAGACCGCTCTCTCCGGCAGAGTTGGTGCCCATCCACCAGTCTTCGTCTACCATCTCAATGTTGGTAACGTAGTCACCTTCGCGGAGTTCAAGCTCATTGTCTTCCGCCTTTTCATAGTCATACTGGATCAATGCCCTCTTTCCGCCAGTAGCAGCTGGAGCATCGGCGACTTGCTCTTCACCAAACTGCTGCTCTGCAACAGCAGTCGCAGCGGCTCGAGGGTCATAGGCGTCCTCCTCCTCGGGAAGCTCCTCCTCTGCCGGTACTTCTTGTGCCAGGGGACGAGTAGGCAAAGATCTCGGTGGTTCGTGGACAGGTTCGAGCTCGGGCTCAGGACCTCGAGGAACTGGGACAGCGACTGGAATAGGCTCAGGCTCCTCTTCCTCTTCATCTTCATCGGTGACTGGAGGCGGACGAGGAGGCATGCCAGGCAGAGCAAAGCCACCAGATGGACCGTCTGAAGGTCGAGTGGCTGGGGGTGGCGGCGGAGGCGCCGCCTCGTCCTCCTCTTCCTCGTCTTCGCCAGCAGCGGCGGCACCGATTGCAGCTCCGGCGACTGCCCCGGCACCTGCTGCAACACCAATTGGTGCAGCGCCCTTGAATCGATCCTTCAGAGAGCTGACGCCTTCAGGCCTGGCTTCTGGCTCCTCATTGCCCTGGCTAGTCGTAGTATCTCCAGTCTTCTGTCCACCAATTCCCCGACCATAAGCTCCTGTTTGCACAGTACCCCAGGATTTGCCAGTGTATCCACTCTGCCATCCTCCTCCACTCTTTTGCGGCGCGACAGGCGAAGTCACAGAGGGGCTAGCAACACTTGGGGCCGCTCCACCACCTTGAGCTGCTTTCTTTTCGGCCCAGAGCTGTGCAGGAGTCTTGCCGCTAGAGGCCGCGAAAGATCGTCCAGCAGAGCCGACCTGGGGGTTTTTAGGAGCGCCGCCTGCAGGTCCAAGTAGACCGAAACCACCCGGGTTCAGAGGCTTGGTACCTCCGTACGAAGAGGAATTGTCAAACTTCTTGACCACCTTTGGCTTTGGCAACTCCGTAATACGCTCGGACTGGTTGAAAGCTGCGCCCCGTTCGGCCAAAGACCTCGGCTGCTCGGGTGCCTCCTCGGGGGTAGATTCAGCAGGCTTCTGGGCTTTTGCACGAATGGCGGCAATGTCTACCTTTCCGACGGGCTCGTATGCGCCTTTGACCACTGTAGGCCTGTCGTCGGGTTTCTCCTTGGCGGCTGCTCGAATAGCGGCAATATCGATCTTGCCAACAGGCTGATAGGCACCTCTGACAACGTCTGGACGCTCATCGCCCGTCGACGCTGTAGGTTGACTTCGAAGCGCATTGATGTCAACCTTTGTAGGCTTATAAGCAGACTCAACCTTCTCAATTTGACTCCGCGAGACCTGGGGGGCATCCTCGCCCCAGCCGTCGTCATCTTTCTTGGAGCGCAACTGGGCGTTGCGAGCGGCCACAATTGGGTTGAAGGAGATGGTGCCGCTAGCAGTCGTGGGAAAGACCGGCTTCGACTTGACAGGAGGAGGGGCGCCCGACGACTTGACTGGCGCGCTGCCTCCAGCGGTATACTTTGCGCCTGAAGCATCGGATATCTTTTGCAGGATGTTTGCTGGTTCTATGTCGCTGTCTGAGCGGGCGGTGATCTGTACGTGGTAGCCGTGAAGAACCTTGGAGACGGCATTGAGATGGCTAGTAAAGTAGCCCTTGGTTCGCTCGGGAACACCTCCACCGCACTGTTGCGAAAGTGGTCAGCTTGTTGCAGCAGGGAAAAAGTAGTAGATTGGATAGGGCAGTCAGCTTACCCATGCAATGAGGGCATATTTCGGGAGGCCGGAGTTGGGGTCTTTGATTTTGACAAAGGCGAATTGTACTCGACCCTCGTTGAAGTCTTCGAGTAACTCTTCAAGCTCGCCTTCGCCGGTAGTCTGCACCTTCAGTACGCTCTCCTTATTGCCTGAATCTTGGAAGGCATTGGCTAGGGGAGCTTGGACTGAGAATAAGGCCCAACTGGCGAAGGTGGAGGAGTTGCCGGAGGCGGATGCATTAATCACAGCTTGATAGCTGGACTTGATCGAGGGCCCATTGATCGAAAGATTGAGGGACGCCATGATTGTTTGCGAATGAGGTTGGTGATCTGGGTTGAGAGAGGTTCTGAGAACCAGCTTGCTCGATGTTCTCAGTGAACAGGAGCTGAGCGACCAGTCGTGGGGTCGATGACTACGTCAGTTACGGAGGGAGGGCACCGCACCGTGAGTGAATGGAGGGAAACGGTGCTAGTGGGCTAGCTTAGGGGTACCAGGAACCAATCATTAGAGTTTATACGTGCCTAGAAGAAACGGAACCTGCGGCAGGTAACACTGAAGAGAGTCCCCTCCCAATTATGTACCATGTCGTGCAGGGTGCGTTAATCTGTTTGTGCTTTCTATATTCTTATGGTCGGCTTAGTGTACATACAAGTCCCTGGCTGGATGCCCAACAGCATAGAATCACTTTCGTTGCAGCCAAATAGTACTTGGACATTTTATAGACCATTCTACCTGCATCCAATCGATTCCATGAAACCTTTCATACCACAATAGTACAATAGTCTGAACGTTGTTCGAGTAATGGATCAGGCTGCTGGAAGCGCCAGGCAACCAAATAAACCCACAGATGGGAGAAGCGCTGCATGTCAGTTATGTTCATTACGTACTTGGGTTTGTGGCAGTGCATTTTGGGTGATCGACATTGCTGCTCCTTTTCAAGTTCAAAGTAATTGAATGTCCGTTTTGGCCGACTTGCCCGTAACAAACTTTGCAGCAAATACACATTACGTACTAAGCGCTAGCCCCAACAGCCCTGTCGATCGCATGGGAATCTCTCAGCTGCAGTGCTGCATCTTTTCCCCAATCGGAGAGCATCTATCAAACACGCAACAACGACGATCCATCCGTCCCGCAAACAACCAACACAAACTACACAATTATCCAAGCTTCTTATCTGATCGCGTCGCTTAACAGATACCATATCGTCTTAATCACCGGCAACAAGCGGCCAAGACCGGCTGATTGTAGCTGAATCAAGCAAGGGCACTTTCCGCATCAAACCACCCAGTTGCCTTCGGTTCGTTCAGAACCACCCGCGCAAAAATGCCATTGCTATCAGAATCATCCTCGGACATCAGCTCGTTATCCTCTGACTCCCCAGAGCCTGATAACGAGTACGACTCGCCGGCCGTTGATGAGCCTGCGTTGCCCCCGTCCAAGCGACAAAAGATTCGCGACGACTCGCGCGCCTCATCTTCTGCACACGTCGACCCAGAACCAGCAGAGCCAGAGCCAGAATTTGATGGCGACATCTCCTCAGACACATCGGGCGACGTGCCGAACTCGCCCATCAATGCCAAACTTGACGAGGAGGAAGCACAAGAACAGGTGACCATTTGCGCCTGGGATGGCTGCGACGCGGGTGATCAGGGCAACATGGACTACCTCGTCGAACACATCCACAACGACCACATAGAGAGCCGACAGAAGAAGTACACATGCGAGTGGATCGGTTGCACTAGAAAGAGCATGCCTCATGCTAGTGGATATGCCCTGAAGGCACATATGCGCAGCCACACGCGCGAAAAGCCCTTCTACTGCTACTTGCCTGGTATGTCTGCTTGCTAAGATCTTGAGAATCCAACTCGAGTCGCAAATCAACATTTGTCTTGGAAACTGGCAAAACTTTTATGCTAACACGACTGCAGAGTGCGACCGCGCCTTTACAAGATCTGATGCTCTGGCCAAACACATGCGCACTGTACATGAGACCGAAGCTTTACGACCCAGTGACCCCGTTCCAAAGTCACTTCAACACGAACGCGCCGATAAGGCCAAGCAGAATAACAGACTCAAGATTGTGCTGAAGACTCAACAACCACACGGTACTCAAGACGACTCCATGGACGACGCTGCTGACGAGGAAGTTGGCTCGGATTTCTTCACAACTCTTACAGAGCAACATGGCTTCACGAGTAAGGAGTTGTCGATTGGACAGGCAGATATTGAGTCTCTATGGCGATTGTGTGTCGCGAATCTCAAGTGGGCAACCGAGGAGGGCGCAACGCTTCGCGAGCAATGCAAGGAATGGGAGGAGCTGTATCGGCAAGAGTGGCTTGAGAAGGAGGTTCTCCTGGAACAGGTTGAGACTGCCGAAGTCGATTGGTGGCATCGACGACACGCTGTACTTAGTGGCGCTGCTGATATACAGGTCAGTGGTGCTTCAAAGGTCAAGCTATCGGGGAGCCACGATCCCGAGGAAACAGACCAAGAGGGCGATGACCTTGAAGAAGGCCCGGAAATCGCCAAAGGCACCGATGTTGAGGTTGAGGAGGACTAGGCGGCGACATCTTTCCTTCAGCATAGCACACGTGCTAGAGCATGGAACGTGAGGAGCGTCACGACCCAAGACGAAAAAGTTGTTTATTTCTCCCGCGGCCATCAAGTTATGGTACCACGTTGGGACATTTGAAGGCAGGAGACGGTCTCTCTTTGGCCCATGGTAGGGCGTGGTTAACCTCAGCTCCCATTCACGCATTGAGAATTAGGTTTTGAGAGTGCCCTCGACGGGGTCTCTGTGTTAAACGGTCATGGAGTCAGGCGTTAAAAGAAATCCTTTCAGCGGTACCCGCTGGGCTACATTGTTATAATGCATTATGGACTTCAAGCTAGATATCGACTTGATAATTTGATATTAATGAGACACATTCTTAATGCCATGATTTCTTGCTCTAAAAAACGGGTTGTTTCAACGGATTCAAGATTGACTACATTGGTATGTTCAGAGCATTAGAGAGAACAGATCTCAAGACTATGGGAATGCAGAGGGTCTTTTCCAAAGACGTGGCTTGTTGGATCATGGCTACCTTTTGGTTTCCAGAAATGGGAATATGTATGCTCCATTATAGTATGCCTCGGGCTTCACGTAAACTATCATCTAGCAAGTGAATCTGCATCGACTCTTCGTACACAAACAAATCTACAGACCCTTCTTCTTCTGCTTGCGCTTGTCGGCCTCGGCATTGGGGAAAGGCCAGCCGCTGGTCCGCTTGTCGGCGCCAGTACGGCGCGAGATTCTCGCCTTCTCGCCGCCAAACAGCAGACACCAGGTCCCAAACGCGGCGAGGCCAGCGCTGCCCACGAACCCCAGTAAGAAACCCGTCTGCCCCGTCTCGTTGTGCTTGGTCCAGCAGTAAAACGCAGCAGATCCGTGATGCAGCGTCGTGATGAGCAGTGTTGCGGCCGCATAGGGCGAGATGCCTTCGGTTGGTGCTATATAAACGAAAAGATCAAAGAGGTTAGTCTGGGCATTTACACAACCAAGGCCTTGCGTTCTTGGATGAGAGGGGGGGAAGGAGAGCGGCTTCTTACTCTCGACCATGCTATTCAACGGCAACGCCCCCGACAGTACCACCGTGACGGCACCTAGCGCGAGGAGCGCAAAGCCCAGGGACCGGGCAAAGTAGTTCTCTACGCCGCTCGCCGGCTCCATGATGCCCTTGTCAATAGTCAGAAGCCCATTGATGGCTTGCGGCCAGACGATGAGCGGGATCGCCTGGGTTGAGAGCCAGAGCAGGGACGAGAAGCTATAGGCCGATACTGCGTCCATTGTGTTCTTGTCTCGCTGCCTCTGCCTGTATGGCAAAGCTGGTGGGGTTGATATGTCTTTTTCAAGCGAACAAGTGTGAATAGCTCCAAGGCCTTACGACAGAGAGAGGCCCCTTTCTGTATGTAGCGTGAATAAACAACTGTATTTTTGATAAATGTCCAAAAGTCCAATGTAGCTAGCTATTGTGGTAGAGATATATATGCAAGCAATCCCTGAAATATCCGTCGTGGCTGAGTAAAGCTTCAGTGAGCCCTCCTGCTGCGTTGTGGTATCTACATTAGAGAACGCGGCAGCTCGGCACACATGTGCACTGTCTTTGCAGCCAGCGCTACGTCACAGTTGGGTGAACAGAGTGAACAGCAGCACTTGGCATTTGATTGGGCGGGAGAGCCCTTGGAGCCGCACTCTAGTTGCACTCTAGTTCAGCAGCGGTTTTCGCGCTTCTAGACCCCGCGTCGTCGCCACGCCAGTGAAATGTTAGGCAGGTGGGCGCCCGATCTCGCAAGCCAAAAAATCGCATTGCATTTCAAAGCAGAGGCGCATTTCCGGTGATTGTGACTGGACGAAATTGGCCATCTTAAAGATCGTTTCCCTTGAACAACTACTCAGGCTCCGAGGCAAGTCGCAAACACTTGGTTCCTCTCATTAATTACTTCTCAAGTCGACCCGTACCTACAAGACACCACTTTTACCGGTCTCGAACACATCAGTTCAGAAGCTGATTGTATTCGGCAGTCGATCATCAATCACTCTTGAAGAACCGAGACCCCGACTACTTACTTGCTGGTGCAGCGTTTCGTCAAGTGCTTGCCATCGGCGCACTCTCGTAATCAGCTTTTAATCGCAAGCACCAGCCGCAGCCATGTCTGCAATCCTTTCAGCCGATGATCTCAACGACTTCATCTCCCCCGGTGTCGCTTGCATCAAGCCCGTCGAGACCCTTCCCGCTCCGGCCCCACCTACCGACGAGCCGCTTGAGCATGAGGTGATCCTTGATGGTCACCCTTCCGCTGCCACTGCCAGCACAAACGAACCGGCGCAAATATCCCTTACCGACTGTCTAGCATGCTCCGGTTGTGTGACATCGGCAGAAGCAGTCCTCGTCAGCCTGCAAAGCCACAGCGAAGTTTTAAGCGTTCTAGATTCTGCACCAGGACTACAATTGCGCCAAGATGCGAATGGAAGCTGGGCTGTGGATGGGCTCGAGAATCCCGAGGCAAAATTGTTCGTAGCCAGCGTTAGCCCACAGTCGCGCGCAAGTCTGGCAGCGGCAGTCGGTGGTCGCTTGGGAGAGCAGGCTGCGGGCAATATGATTGCGCAACTCCTAGGTGGAAGCGCAGGTCTTAGAGCAGGCGGAAAGTACAACAATGCTTTCACCTGGGTAGTCGACACCAATACCGCACGAGAAGCATGCCTGGTCCTGGGTGCAGAGGAAATATTAAGTGATGTTGTTGGCGATGGAAGAGCCACCAAGCCTATCATCACAGCAAGCTGCCCAGGGTGGGTATGTTACGCGGAGAAGACGCATCCACACGTGCTGCCGCACTTGTCAAGAGTCAAATCTCCACAGGCGCTCATGGGCACTCTTTTGAAGACAAGTCTAAGCCGTGTACTTGGAATCCCGCCGGATCGGATATGGCATCTCGCGGTCATGCCTTGTTTTGACAAGAAGTTGGAAGCAAGTCGAGAGGAGCTGACCGATGCCGTCTGGGCTGGCGATGGCAAACCGGGAAGAGGTGTACGAGATGTGGACTGCGTCATCACCAGCAAGGAGATCCTGATGCTTACTGAGTCGAGAGGCATGGACTTTTTCCAACTCTCCCATGAATCGGTGTCTTCATCCCAAACAGCACCCTTTCCAGACCAAACACTCCATGAGTTCTTATTCCGAGAAAAGCGAAAGACGCAGAAGCAGAATGATACTGCCGCCGGGACATCAGGAGGCAATCTCCACTACACCCTTCAGTATGTCTCAGCTCAACACCCAGGCTCCAGGATAGAGACAATCCGGGGCAGAAACGTAGACGTTGTGGAATACAATGTCATCTCGGCCAATGGACAATCGCTGTTCAAGGCTGCCAAATATTACGGTTTCCGCAACATCCAAAACCTGGTTAGGAAACTGAAACCAGCTCGGCCGTCCCGCGTGCCGGGAGGTAGACCTATTGGTGGTTCTCGCAAGATGGAATATCAATACGTCGAGGTCATGGCATGCCCCGGTGGCTGCACAAATGGCGGTGGGCAGATCAAGGTCGATGATCCTATTGTGACAGAGAGGAGGGGGATAGAAGCCAAACCCGGTCCCCAGGAACAAAAGAATTGGTTGGCAGAGGTTGATGAGGCATACTTTTCGGCCGACGAGCCCGATGTCGAACCTATTGATAATGATTCGACATCTCACTTGGTCGGTGGCATTTCTCCGTCGTACATTCGAGATACCCTAGCGCATTTGTCCAGCATTACTGGTGTAGACATAGATAGATTGGCCATGACGACATATCGGGAAGTTATCAGTGATGTCGGCAAGGACAAAACGACTGACACGGAAAGGGTTGTACAATTGGCTGGGAAAATCGGAGGTGGGTGGTAAGGAAGATACCATTCACAGTCTTAGTGTACTCCGACACGAGATAATGAGATATGATCGATGAAAATCAGTCCTCCTTTGCTCCTCGTCTGGCGAAACCGAAACCGCCCCGGCCACTGCCATCGGGGCCGCGAGGTGCTCGAATAGTATGCTCGTATTTTCGCGGTGTAGATTGACCTGACGTCCCGGATCCAGTGCGCTGTTCCATGGGAACAACTGGTCTTGGTGAGTAGTTGGGGTCGTAAAGCTCTCTCTCACGCCCTTCATCGCGTCGTTGTGTGCCTTCATGCAGATTTTCATCCCTGGATCTTCCAGAATCTGTGCGATGGTGGTTGTTACGATCACCACGTCCCCTAGGGCCGCCCCTGCCACGACCTCTGCCTCTTTGATTGCGTGGAGGAGTTGTGGTTCCGGGGGTTGTCGCTCCTGAGCTACGTCCGCTACCAGCTCGAGAATTGCCGCTGCCGCCGTTGCTGCTCTCTCCAAAGATCTTGGCCCTCGTTTCGGCGTAGAGCCGCTGTTTCTCCTCGTGCTCACGCTTCTGGCGTGCCCGGATTTGCTCCGGCGTCTCCTGGGGTTTCTTGTCCTCTTCGTCGCTATCGTCTGCGAGGGACAATTTGGCCATACCACCCGTGACTGGGTCTCGCTTTGCCAGTACGGGTTTACGCGCGAGGACTATTGGGGGCGCTTTGAATGTTTGTGCGAACGGGGGTTCGGGCTGCTGCGACATGTACTGCAGGGGTGCCCCATTGTTTGGCTCCTCTCTGTCGGGTTGTTAGAAAATTGTAAAGAAAATTAAACCATTGATCTAGATAATTAATAACGTACGCCGCTTCCCAGAGTCTTCTGTTGGACTCGGCATGCTGCGCAGCGCGCTCTCTCTTGCTGAGGGACGCCGGCGCCGGTTCTGGAGCTGATGGTTCGGCGGTAGCCTTGTCTGCTTGCGTCTCCCAATCGTCGTCCTCCCAAGCATCTGGAACTTGAGCCTTCTTGGCCATGTTGAGGCAGAATACGCGTAATATTTGCAAGTGAGATACTTTAGAGTCTGCAACTTCGAAAGCACAACCTCAAGGAAGTCACCGAAAAGTTAGCAAGTGGCATGGGCGCGAGCGAGCGGGCAATGAAGTCACAACGGGAAATAACCTTGTGGTATGGGCCCCCCGTCTCTTGCTTGGGCTTCTTTTGCGGCTGCGCTTAATCGGCCAGGGGTCCATCCCCCTTCTCGGAGCTGTCCAATGACAGGCTGTCAGCTACTGTGGGGTTGGCGGGGTTGTCGACGTCCTCTCATGATCCGGCTTCGGGTAACTCATGTGGTTATGAACATTTTAATTTCAGAAAATACAAATCAAAGTTGAGATCGTTACCATTATCACTCCCAGAATCATCATCGCGTCACGATAAAATTCCATCAATTTTAGGAAATTCGGAATATTGATCCGCATTTTCTGGTTGTTTTTCCAGCACTGGGAATTGATCATTGGCAGCAATAAACACCAGTTTTTTGCAGATCCATATCGTGTAAGTCGCGCTTGTAAGATAGAAATATCTGCTTCATCACTAATCAGGACTCAGAGTTGCTTGCTGTAAATACATTGTTGGGGTTTCCTGAATCGAGGTATCATGGCTAGTTCGGCAGGAAATCGGGCACCAGGCCTTCACACCCCGACGCAGTCCTTCAGTGGTTCCCCGGCAGACACCATGACTCCGGGCCTCCATTCTTATAATCCTATCGCAATCAATGACAAAAAGAAGCTCAAGGAGGAGGCCGATATTGCCAAGCAACGTCTCTCTGATCTCAAGTTTAATATTCGTAAGTGTCGGCCCATGTGATGCAGGATCATGGTCAGATTGAACTAATGAAAACGTTTGTTTCAGGGGATTACCCAGACCCTTTGCTTCCACGAGAAGTTCCCAGAGAGCGTTACATGCCTCAAGGTCTCACAGAAGGGGATGAGAAGCATCTCTTGGAAGTCATTGCCAAGTACAAGGCCGGACAGTAGAGAGAAGCAGGCAAACATCATTGATGGCGTTTGGGGTCAGTTTATGAGTCAAAATTAGTTGGTCATGTATAAAAGTAGAGCCTAATCTTGTGTCCATTGGTAGCAGAAAAGTACAGCTCTACTATTTTTACCACTCTCAAGAAGTATGGGAAGAGATATTTGATTTTAGAGACTACCATGCATGTAGTCTTGAAAATGCAAGATGAAGCTATTCTCACGTTGAGAACGAAGCCATACAGAGACGTCTGACAACGTAGGGCAATTGCCAGTCCGCAGCCCTCTATCAATGGAAACCAGCCACTGAATACTAAATGTAATGAGGAACAAAAAAGATTCTGCCGTTTGCATTTCGTGTAGCTACTTGCAAGCTTCACTATTGGTGCAGCAGAATTTCGAGGAACAATCCAACCTCCCAGCCGCTGAAAATCTTTTCTTTCCAAAAGCCACAGCAAGAACAATCTGTGCCCTGCTTCATTTGAACAATCCACCTGGCCGGCTTTTTAATTTTCTTCCAAAAGACGGTACAAAGTCCAACTTTCCACCACGTCATTTCTTTTCTCAAACCACCTTCCAACGTCAATCATCAATCAGTACTTCAACAATTTTGAAGGACAAATTTCGAAGTCAATTCACAACTCCCACATCAATCAAATACTTCTCTACTTTGCCCCTCAGCATCCGAGCCCTCCAGAACTCACAAACTTTTGCTGGCTCAAAAGCTTTGAGTTCATCATTCATCTCAATACTTGATCACCCAGTCAACCGACTTCAACCTTCTGACTCATTCTCCTCTACCCCCATCGGTCAACATGACTGGAGTTTACAGCCCGCCCAGTCCCCCGCAGCGGCCCAACTTCCAGTGGGTTCTGGCAACTCCCCCCGATCCTCATCGCAAACTTCTCACACTCACGTATACACCCAACCGCCTCAAGCCATCACAAAAGCGTGCAATGGAAGACACTCTCCAAACGCGCCGTGACGATGCCAGAAAGAACAAGATGATCAGAATTCCTGAAATTCCCATGGAAGCTGCCGTGGTTGCCCTCCACCCATGCTACCGAGGCACCAAGCTCGATGGCGGCTACTACGAGTGGCTTAACCGCAAAGTCTACAACTTTGAAATGCCTGATATCGTCCGTCGGGTTAACAAGTTCCGTGGCTTCCCTCAAAGAGACGACCCGAAGTACAACATCATCGATCCTGAGAAGTACCAAGAGCACTACCGCTCAGAGAAAGGTCAAGCTGAGCTAGAACCGTACATGCCGTACCTTCGCAAGTACTGGGCCACCAACGGCGATGTCTTTGATGAGCATCTCGACACCTTGGACAGCTACCACGAGGATACCGACGAGGACGAAGGCCGCCATATCGATGTTCTCGAAGGTTACGAGGATTCCCGCATCATGGGTGATGTTGCCGAGGCTGTGTGCGGACTCTCTACTCCTCCTTCTCTTCATGGACCAAGTCGCTGGGAGCAAGAGCGCAAAGACTTCACTCGCGACGTTGCAAGGAGGGCATCCCAAGGGAAGCGAATTGTGGAAGCCACTGCCACTGCCGCTATTCGAGATTCTGCTGAGGAGCATGGCTCACTCGCTTGGGAGTCAGCTAATGGTCTTTTGTCATCTCCCCTGACTCTGAACGGTTCTAGCCCGAACTTGTCCGGATTCTTCGAGTCTATCGAACAGGACCGCAGCAACGCCCAAAGTCCTGGCCTGATTTGGTGGAACCCTTTTGGCTCCAAGGTTTCATCTCCGGTAGCTGCTTTGCAGAACAGTTCTCCCATACCTCCAATCGCCCCGAGCCCCGTCTTTTCGCCAGTTCCAGAGCTCGAGAGAGCCTACCAAGGAGCCAGCCCGCGCAGTCCTCCCCATTCTGTTAACTTATCCATGAATCGACCCGCCAGCGCCATGGCATATCATAGCCCAGCCGGCGAGATCTTCACCAGCAGGGCTTCATGCTATCCCGAGGACGCTAGATGGGAGAATTTCCGAGCACGTTCAAACGTTCAGAATTTGGCAATTGCCAACGCATTTGAACCGGTTCCATGGATGGCAGGGCATTCTCCGGTATTCGACACTGAGCAAAAGGACAACGCAAATGAGTTTGGAAGTTTGGGATTCCCAATGGGTATTCGACGATGGCATCATTATAGGGCCCCGAGTCACTATGGACCCCCAGAGCACTATGAGCCCCCGGCTGACGATTACACGTGGTGCACATGTCCGGAGCACTCCAGCGGCCTTCAGGACACCGTCCTGACTTCATCCTCGCACCCTGAGAACTTTAAGAGCGTTCGTGACAGGGTCCCCACTCCACTTCCCTTCGTTACTGCACGTGCCGAGAAGCGTCAGCGCGAGGACGATGCCGACGATGAGGCATCCGACAAGGAAGACACCGTTGTCGTCAGAACTGAGGGACGGCCCGCTGCGAAGCGAAGACGAACCGATGCGGTGGTTCAGCCCAAGTGGCGCAAGAGCCAAAAGGTCCGCAAGGCCCGCAAGAGTGGCAAGAGCAAGAAAGGCAAGAGAGGCAAGAAGAGGCAGCATGGTTCCGACGATGACGAGTACGAGTTCACCGGCCTCGAGGTTGCAGATGAGGACAAGGCGTACGAGAGAGTCTAGCATCAACGACCTCGCAATGCTTAGGTCTTTGCTTTGGTGTTTCTTTCAACAGCCTTGGCAAGTACAACCATAAAAAAGGAGGGAGAAAAGCACTACGTGATGTTCAGGTACATCATCATCGATACGCAACAACGAAGACCGAAATGTTTCTGCCTTTATTTCCTTTGTTTCAGAGCAATCTTTTCAGCATCGGCTCTCATGCTTTTCCCTTTCGTCTATCAGCATAGATGTCGCCACTTTTCCAGAACGAGCCGACGGCATCTCTAGGATACCCGCTGCATCATTTTCGTCACGACATTTTCAAGATACCATTGCATCACTTTCCGGCGTCATTGTTTGTTTTCTCTCTCTCTTGAGCACGTTGGGAGACGAGCTGTCCGCCAACATCGGGTTCCCCGATGGGAAATTCGCAGAACATGGAGGAACCGTTATTGAGATACATGCAGGCATGGGTCGAATGCGGTTTTGCCACGATTTGATGCGGAGACAGTTTGATATACTTTCTAGGGGGAGCAGGTAGCAAGCATGCCTCATTCTTTGGTGGATGGCAGAGAAAGGTCAAAAGGATAGGCCAAATGTTTCTGATTTGCAGCGTTCACAGGAAAATAAAACCACAAAAAAACCACAATAATGACTTGATTGACTTGATTTGAGGTGATTGCTTAAGATGACAGATAATTACGGATTCAGAACACATGGCCCAGTCGAGAACACACACAAACACAATCTCGGCTCGTGCTTGAATGAACCTATTCCATATTGTTAATTTACGAAGGATCAACTACATATCTCTTGTCTCTGATACTGACAACCACATCTTCGTATTGCCACAAAATGCAAGTGAGATTGAAGCCTCCCAGGATGGACCCGAATGTCTACCTTGATAACAGTTGAAATATGGATCCCTTTACAAGGTGGGTGAGATGCCGATAGTACACGCACCTGAGACGGGCCCAACCACGACGATCACTTGAAGTGGATATTATTTGACATTCCATTCGTCCAGCCAACTGATTGCCATGTGAAGATGCCCGATACGAACGATCCCTTGGATTTCAGTACAGGCTATCGATATCAAGATGTTCAAGAGCCATTTAGGAAATTCTATAGCAAAAACAAGGCTGGCAAAGCCAAGGCATCCTGTGGTTATTTTCCCACGTTATACAAGGTCCAGCCCTTCAAGTCAGAGAGAAGTTATTCAAGCATATGGCAGTCATTGTCGGTCACGCCCAAGCTGATCCCCCCTATTTCAGCCTCGACATGTGAATATGGGGGAAGTCCCTGAATATTGCAGATTGCCGGTAGCCATGGCGATAGGAAATGCCTCTTTTGCGGGGGAAGCAAAAGATGTGGTTCGGTGATTTTTCAGCCTCATATATTCCGGCCAAAAAAGCACGCAATTGGATCAAGAAAACTTGGGATCTACCAAAAAAATGGTTCGCGGATAATCGAGAATGACGTCATGATTGTTTACTGTATGCTAATCGCTACTAGTAGTAAATAATCCGCGGCTTTATGCAAGTCCGGGCGACCTTTTGCTTAGCGCTGGTGCATGGATGTGCACTTTGCATCGGGAGGGAATCGGAATTTGACCGAGGGAGGAAAATACCTACTGGACAGACCCGTAACAGGCCGATGTCTGTGTTATTTTTGATGGCTTCACATTGCCGGTATATTTGCCAGATAAGACAATTGGCACACCACCAAATAAAAAGGGCCCGGACACGGGCCGAGTTGCCCTTCGGTGCGCATGTGGCAATTTCGAACTCACTAAAGTCCCCTTTCCCCTCTTCTTTTTTTTCTTTCGGAGACATAAAACTGGGAACTTGTCTTTCGGGAGGAATCGCATGCGATGCAAGTTTGCAGATTGTTGGGCGGTGAACCCGAGACGGAGGTTGGGAAAAGGGTGGTGGTCGTCGTGTGGTTTTCTCCACCCCCAATTTTGCCATTTTCCGTTGTGTTGTTTTTGTCTGGTGCACGATACCAAAAGATGGGGTCTATATATAACTCTAAGAGCAGCCGGTGCGTCTTAGTCTGAGTGGAAACCTGTGGATCAGCGTATATACTTGGACGGTTGGGCACGGTGAATTTGGCCGAGGAAGTTTGCAGGTAAGATAATGTTGATAGTGTTTTAATTACGTGTTCAACAAAGTACTTCTCATGGGATATAGCCATGGTGATTCTGCTATGGGGTGTTTCATCTTTGGGATCTCGGAGAGTGAACAGCGAGGTTATAGTATAGCAATTCCAAAGCGGCGGGTCGGTGCATGCCAAGTGCGTAAAAGGCTTCTGGTAGGGATTACCGATACTCTCACTGTTGCGTTGGGGGTAGACAACCTCTGGAGCAGGAAATCCCGAGATGACTGCAACCTCCAGTGCATGAATGCTTCAGCCGAGATGGTGTAAGTAAAATTCTACATATTGATTGATGATACGCTACAAATGGAATATGATGGCTGATGCACGTGGGACGCAAAACCGAATGTTGTGCCATGCAGTATGAACGAATATGTTTGACCTCTGCTGGGTTGTCTTATGTACGGCGTACGCTTAAGCGGTGACATGGTAAGCTGACTGTCGTATCGACAAAGGAGGGCTACTAAATGTGAGCGACCAAGCAACGTTTACATGTATGTGACCACCTCGTATGTCTTTTCTCGTAGGTAGATTTGTATATCTGATGATTGCGCCCATTGCTGTGCATATCTTCTGCTTGTCAGCTGTTTTTGCTTCCTTCAGCCTTCTTGGCCGCCATGCTGAGTCTAAAAGTGGCATGTTGAGCACATGCAATCCAATATTGGTGATTGCACTCTCCAAGGCCTCAAGCACGGCACTTTTTGTGAGCCGAATAGGATGGATGCAGCCGCGGATTGATGCCGCGACCTGTCGAAGAGATTTATTACTCAGCTGAGTATTCCGATGTGATGGACTATCGGATGGGACTTGGACCTTTCAAGAGGGTGCGAAGCCTTCGCAATTGCCAAAAAGAGTCATGATTATCCAATCACGGCCTCGGCAAGACCCTTTAAGGATGGTGTCCAACTGTCTGCCAACCATTGCGAATCCTAGCCAAGGGCACCTGGACCACCGGCTGTACGGAACTCTGTGCTGCTTGACCCCAAATTCTCCAAACAGCTTGTCACTATTTACCTAGGTCAATTATTCGGCTGGTGTGAACGGTGGAATGACCCGGAGTCAACATGACATGACACGACAGTCGCAATCCCGGACATCTGGAAGACGTCTAGAAAGAAAATTTCAAACCATTGGAGCGAAAGAGCTTGGCCAAACATGCGCCCGGCTCATAGCGGCCCTGTCGCTACAACCGACCAAAGCTTAAAACATGAGACCAGGTCGATATTGCCGGGGGGAATTGGACCAGGATCGTCGGTCCTTTCAACCGCCGCCGTGTCATCATGTCACTAACAAGTCGACGACAACGATGCTACGCAAAGTATCGTCTTGGGAAGAGTTGTTCGAGGAAGCCGTGGTCACAAGCTTTGAAATGGGCAGTCTGCGATTCGTAGTATGCCCTTTTGCATGGGGGCTATTATTAAAAGGCCGGCATCTCCTAACCGCACCATCAGCGCAAGGTGCTTGTGCCGTCTAGCTGGTCCGATATCGAATGTTTAGATAGCCTGGATCAGGTGCTTGTCTGTCTAGTGTAGCCGTAGCTGTCATCTGGGAGGGAACCCTTTTAACATCTTGTCATTGACGCGGCTGCAAGCGAAGAAGAAAAGAGGAAGGGAAAAAGAAAAAAAAAAAAGGTCGATCAGTACCTAATCCAAGCTATAGGGCCGGGTATAAACCTGGGCAGTGGATATGATACCTGACTGTCAAGAATACGAATGACGAGGTGGTATCGCTGCAGCTTTCCAGCATTGCCAGCACTAATAAGTATTTCTTGCTTTTTCCTCATTTGCGCTGTAGTGCTATATTGTGCACTAGGCGACTCAAGGAGGACGCGCAAGAAAGTGGACAGGAAGGCAATAACATACCCTCCAAATCATGACTCTGGTCTCAACAGGTCAATAGGAACGGACGGAGGGTGATTGGACCGAAACTACAGGTTATGTACCACGCCATATGAGAAGAATAAGAAAGTTCAGGTCTTGAGACATGGCCGGAAAGTGCGAGAAACATGGAACATTCTGTCGTCGTTCTAGACCAGTTTCTAGAGGCGGCATCGTGAAAGAGCATCTGATTTATCGTCCATCTTTATCGATACGGCCCCCACATTGCGTATCATGACCACTTCAAATTGCCCCTCAGAGACTCTGATTTTTTGGGTTGCAAGCCCAGAAGCACGTACATGCCAATGATTCCAGTGCGATGTCGACAACGAACCTTCTTCGCCTTCCTGTGGTGCGATGCGGAACGGTACGGTACGGCACAGTCGGGGGCCACATGTGAAAAGTATTGTACAGACCATGTAGGTTGAGATGCGGTGTCAGTTCCGGGCAAGCCTATTCTTAGTACATATGACAGCGGGCGTCCAGTACGATGGTGCTTCCGATTCATGCCTGGCTGTAATGGTGCTGGTGCAGTATCACGCACTTCGACGCGGGAACGACCGCCTCCTTGCGATTAGTATTGCTTCAAACATTGTACAATGCATATATCTATCCAGGTAGTAAGGCAGATATTATACAAGCACTTCGCTTGATACACGGCGGCAAGTGGCCTGGCCTGGGCGACATTCCTCCAGCCAGTCTCACACCCGGGTCGATTTCCCCACCAAGCCAAACCAAGCTGTGCTCACTGTCGCTGAGCCTGGAGTGGCAACACCAAAAAGAGGAAGCCTGTCTACCTTACGTAGTACATATTTCGACCTGATACACGGCGAGCTTGATAGGTAGGCATGCACTGGAAAAAGGAAGCACAGAACCCTTGGCAACTCACTACAAGACACGTCTCGTCAATGGATAGCAATGTATGTGCAAGAGAAGCGAGAGGAAGACGTGGGCCAGGAATAGCGAAAAGAAGAAAGAATTGAAGACATCAATCAAAGACAAAAGATGTTCTCGTTCGCCCGCCTGGACTTGGGCAGGTAATAATAGACTCTGTTAACTTGAGCACCATCCAACCACAACAATCAATACCTACTACGTATCTACACAGTATCTACCTACATCATCTCCCCGCGTCAACCCATATCTTGTCTTCTGCCTGCTGGCCATGATGATTTGCAGGCATCGGAGCAACTAGGGACGATTTTCTTACTGACTTACTGTACCTAGTACCTAGCCTGCTAGTTACTCTCGACGCACTCGCAGACGGATGCACTGATTGCCAATCAATCGATGTGCAAATCAGCACAATCCCGGCTGACGATTGATGCCAGACAGCAGACCTCTTCCTCCTTTCGGCTGAACTCGGTATCCAACAGGCAAGATCCATCAGCTATCGCGCGTCTGAATTACCTCACTACGGCCAGCTTAGCCCCGCCCTTGCGGCGACGTCTACCAGTCAGAGCCACTAAGATCTGGTCCATTTCTTTCAGCAAGCCAACCAGCTAACCCCTACGGCTGCCCGCTTTTCCCTAGCACCACCGCTCGCTCGCTCGTTTCCTTCCAACCATCAAGCAAGCTTGTACTAAGCTCCATCCCAAGTTTCCCAATCAATCCCACTCACATCTGCAAATCCATCCTCTGTCCCCTCACGAACGCTTGTTGTCGTATCATTATTTTTTTTCCCCCTTCTCCCTCCCCTGTCCCCACGTAGCCATACACGAGAGCATCGCACAACGCACAACATCCCACCTTCTTGCCAGCAAACTCTTCCTCTCGCACCACTCCGACGTCACTTTCACTCCGGTCTTCTGAGTGCAAGTAAACGACGGAAAAGAGAAGACCAAAAATTAGAGAGTGTCTGCTATTACCAGGCGCCACTCCCCCCAGGCCTTTTTTTGCCCCGTTACCAACAGCCGGCCCTTTGACATTGAGCGCGCCTTTTCAACCTGCTGCTCACCACAATGTCTGGGTCGGAAGGTAGCTACGACCTGCTTCGGCGGGCAACCCAGGCGATGATGTCAAAGTAAGTGCAAAACCCACTTTCGTTCTCGCGGTCTCTTCCTTGCCAGTGCAAATCCCACAAACCGCCGCTGCGGCGCCTTTACCCACTTCCCCTGACCAGTATGGTGTAATTACTGCATCGCAATTTCAATGCCATTTTGGTCTTCATTTCGTTTCACAATGGGCCGCTTCGTCTGCCTGCCTCGATCCGATCCAAAGGGATTTGGGAGCCTCCGCTACCACCACTGTGGTTGCTACCTACTGCCACCCGGGACACTATTACCAAGTGGCCTACCAGGGCCCGTGTACGTGCTGCATCCGAGCTTTTGCGCCTGTCCCATTTGCAGGCTGGTTCGGACTTGAGCGACCCCGTCGTCAGCTCTGCCAACAGAACAGCACCGCAGCACTGACTGCACTGCACTGGCTGAAGGACCCTTGCCGCCAGGGTGCTGTGCTGCGTGTGGCGAGGGGTAATAGTGGATGTGGGCTGTTACTACCGAGCGATTCAAGCGGTCCGTTGGCGCGACCCTAACCACGATCAAATGTCGGGCACACACGAAAAGAGGGCCCCCCCCCCTCGTCCTATTCTCGAGTCAGGCAAGTGCTTGAGCCGAAGCAGCAATCAAGCTACCATGGGTCGGTATGGCGGCACTCATTGAGCGAGTGAAGTGATCCTGCTTGCGATCATGGTATTGAAACCATGAACGCCGTACGCGCTGCGCCCTGCTGTTCACCTTTGGACGAGGCCGCCCAGTGTCATTGTCTGAGCTACGTTACCGTCTGCCCAAGCTGGAATTTGTCAAGGACGAACCGCCAGAAACGCTTATCTCGCCAGGGAAAGCCTTGACTCTGACTCGTCCTCGGCCTCTACCCAAAACGGTGCATCCCAGGATCGATATCTGCAGCAATGTGCTTGCCCTGCCTTGAACTTCTCCTCCTACAAACCCCACCTAAAAAAATTATGGCCCTCTCACCACTTGCTTGCCCCCACTTTGAGACCCTTCAACCACATGGCGTCAAGTTCCGTAGCCCTGGCTTTTAATACCTGAAAGGCCCGGGAGTCGGGTTTTTGTAAAAATTTCCCACGCTTCCCAAACTCTTGTCCTGCATCCTGTTCTTGTCCTTGCAGCATCGTCATCGGCTTGACTGGTATGTCAAAGGGACAGAGTTACTACTCCTGCTTGGAAATGCGTGGTACGAGAGTATCTGCTCTCAGAAGGCCGCCTTAGCTCTGTTTACCAACAGTTTTTTTTTTTGCACCAATCAAACATACTCCAAATTCTATATTCACTTTTTCTTCTCCCAGCATTTGCCGCAGCAGCATCTGTCCTTTTATTACTCTTTTAGTTCATTTTTCTTCACTCGGAAGATTTGTCGATTTGAGTCAAGATAGCAAACATGACTGGTATTAACTTGCACAGTAGGCAGGGCACCACGGAGGACGACGGGGCCGATCAGATTGGATCTGATACCCCGAGGTCCGGTGTCGCTACGCCTCAGCCAGATCCCCAGGATAAACGGCTGCCCGGTATCATGAGCTATTTTGGCCAGGTTCGTTCAAAGTCTCTGAGTTTCTTTCACAACACCTCGTCGTCTTCTCCCCAAGCACGAGAATCCGAGAATGCTCGCCCAGCATCGCCCCGAGAAGAGAAGGAAGCCAGCACGTCACCAAAGTCGTTGCCTACACCCGATGAGCAAAACTCCACTTCCGAGGGCATGCCTCTCCTGCCACATGAGAAGAGCACACCCCCGAAAGAGTCGGAATCATCGCAACCTCAGAATGATCCATACCCTACACCTCCTTGTTCGCAGACACCATCGGAAAGAGGGCTCAAACTGAGCGATGCGAGCGGCGATGGCGCGGATCTTGCACGAAGAACCTCTCTGTCCCAGGCTTTCAAGCACGGGCAAAGCCCTTCAGAGGTTCAGCAGTCTCGACGCGCTAGCGTAGCATCTCCTCTTACAAACGTGGTCACTGCCACAAGTGCTGTTGGCCAGTTGTCTGTTCCCGATGCAAGCTCTGCTTCCAATACTTCACCACCAACCACTATTGCGCAAACCCCATCGGAAGCCCCTGGCAGTTATTTCCCTGCTTCAGTTGATCGGCTCAAGAAGCTAACACTTGATGGAACCGAAAAGAGCGGCCCCCCGACTCCTACTCGAGCGCTCTCATCTACGCAGACTTCGCAGACCGATGGCAAGAGTTCTTCGAGACAGAACAGTGATAATGCCGAATCCACCGCCAGCGGTGTCATGACTCCGATCTCGGCTCAAACTGGTGGCGCAAAGGCTCCAAACTTCAAGGGAAAGCTTACTATCAAGATTCTCGAAGCCAGGAACCTTCGCCGAAGCCGCGACCCTTACGTTGTAGCTGTGTTTCAACGCAGCGAGCTTATCTCTGGAGGACCAAGAACGTTTCAAGATGAGGACGAATTGGATGTGCCACCGCCAGGGGCTGGTGGAATCCCAATCCAGCGGCAGGGAAGCGAGTCAGGCCGCTCCATGGCGATCCCGATGAGGAGCCGCCAGAGCAGCAACACCAGCATGGGTGACTATGGCTCTTACCGCAACCGACCGAAACGTACTTTCTCCTGTCCTAAGTGGGACGCCGAGGCTGTCTTGTAAGTGTTCCTTTGATTCTTCCTTTCTTTTTAATGTTAGCCGGGCAGTCATGCTGATTCTTCTTCCAGTGATGTTGTGGAATCGGACATGCTTGTGGATATTTCTGTTTATGATCATGGGCCCAATGGGGAGGAACTCCTTGGACATGTGGACATCCAGGCCCAACAGTCCTCATCTGATGATTCCGTTCGAGGCTGGTATCCTTTGAAGGGAAATGTCGACACCAGCGCCGAACATGCACCCACGGGTGAGATCTACGTCGAGGTCATCTACCACGGAAATGAGAAGAGGCACTATGGGCCAGACGACTTCCAAATTCTGCGGCTCATCGGCAAGGGTACTTTTGGCCAAGTTTACCAAGTGCGGAAGAAGGATACCGGGCGTATATACGCGATGAAGGTTCTGTCCAAGAAGGTCATTGTTCAAAAGAAAGAGGTCGCCCACACTGTCGGCGAAAGGAATATCCTGGTCCGAACAGCTACATCGGAGTCTCCCTTCATTGTTGGACTCAAGTTCTCTTTCCAGACACAGCAAGACCTGTTCCTGGTGACAGATTACATGTCTGGTGGAGAGCTGTTCTGGCATCTGCAAAAGGAGGGTCGGTTCGATGAGAAGCGGGCCAAGTTTTACATTGCGGAGTTGATCTTGGCGATACAACATCTTCACTTCAACGACATTGTGTATCGTGATTTGAAGCCGGAAAACATTTTGCTTGATGCAAATGGTCACATTGCACTCTGCGACTTTGGATTGTCAAAGGCGAACTTGACCAAGAACGACACGACCAACACCTTTTGCGGTACAACCGAGTACCTTGCACCCGAAGTGCTGCTCGATGAAGCTGGCTATACGAAGATGGTCGATTTCTGGTCGTTGGGTGTACTGGTCTTTGAGATGTGCTGTGGCTGGAGTCCTTTCTACGCCGAGGACACTCAACAGATGTACAAGAACATTGCTTTTGGCAAGGTCCGCTTTCCCAGAGACACCTTGTCGCAAGAAGGTCGCAACTTTGTCAAGGGTCTTCTGAACCGCAACCCCAAGCACCGTCTTGGTGCTATTGATGACGCGGAAGAGCTGAAGCGTCACCCGTTCTTTGCGGATGTGGACTGGGATGCTTTGTCTAAAAAGCTCATCACCCCACCCTTCAAGCCTAAGCTATTGTCCGACACGGACGTTTCTTATTTCGACCCAGAGTTCACAAATGCTCTGAACCAGAATGGATCTTTGAATGAGCGGGCTCAGCAACTTGCGACCGGCTTCGCCAACTCGACGCCGCTGTCGCCCACTGTACAGGCCAATTTCCAGGGCTTCACTTTCGTGGACGAGAGTTCGCTCGACGACCACATGGCTGATCGGTACGATGACGAGGAAATGCGGGATGCCCGCCGGGACAACGACTGGGATGAACTTGATGATATTGATCTTCGAAAAGCCAACAACAGGATGAGTGGCATTGTTCGGACGGGTGCGAACGATGAGCCTTTCAACTCACAATTCGACATGTAATAGCTGGCCGATGGAGGGGCTTAGTTTATATCAGTGTTTCAGACTTGCAAAAAAAGGGGCAAGTTCGCAAAACATTTTACTTCAGAGTTTTAGCATCATTTGCATGAGCCGGCTGTTTGTTTGCACGGCGGTTAGGTATTTGCTCCTCCGACATCGAATAGTCTGGAGGCGTTCGGATCTGCAGATAAAGCATCATGGCACATACAGACAGACAGAGATATCGTTGCAAAAACAACTTGTTCACAAGCATGGAGGTATGCAATTAATTGGTGATGGAGGTGACGATGGGATCGGTATACAGATGATGCACAGATGTGGGCATGGACAGCAGTACTGGCATCACAAGTGGAAGAGCTTTCGAATAGGCTTCTACTCTAATGATTAGGGCTCTGTGGAGCCGAGGTTGATACCCTGCATGATGTTGGTTATCTAGTATAGGCAAATTGAGCACGATGTCATATCACGGAGTTATACAATGGTTTGATTGAAATGCGATTATTCATACAAGGACAATATTTGCCATACCTGGCTTTACGATGCCATACCAAGCTTAGACTATAGTGACAAATTATCTCTGCGGATATCTGTTGGCAATTGCTACAAGTGGCTGAGATTTAAGAACCAAGGTCTTTTGACTCTCCGTATATACAACTGTCAAGGTGAAATCCTATGCCAAGCAGCTCGGCACTGCCCGAACTGAACCTGATATGATGGCTCAACTCGCGTTCCCTGCTGAGAAACATTGTCCCTATACTGCTAGGAGAGAAAATGATTAGTGATGGATTTCGTGATTTCCTTGAGATGATGATGATCATGATTGTCCAAGACGCGAGAGTCGGGCCTCTCTGCAATATTATACACCCCCACGATCTTGCAGACTTATATAGCGTATTCAATCTTGTCTCCTGTGGAATGATCGAAAATGTAAAATTCATGTTTTCGTGGACGTGCTTCTTGGTACATCTATTGAAGAAGGTGATTCATGTCGAGAGGTTATGTGATGTCCGTATGATTGCATGATTTCTATTCAATCTCTAGAATTCGCTGTTCTGCGTGCTTGAAATACTCACACAAAACCAGTTGCGACTCGATTTTGTATCCCGGAGTTTCATAGAAGCCAGCACCCAAGCGATGATATCGTTGGCTATTGCTTTTTCTTAACAAGACCAGAAATCCCAAACCTTTATGAGAGACCCAAGTTTATAACAAGTATACGATGACGTCACCGGTAGACGATCCGTCATCAGCTTCAAGCTCCTGGTAGCCGCGTTCAAAGTCGGGCTGGAACTTGAGATTGGCAATTTTTCTACCGTCTTGTAGTAATAATTCCTGACCACCACCAAAGGAACAATCGAGATCATCGCCCTTGTACAAAGTCAGAGGCAATATGCAGTCAAGCACCGGACCCTGGACCACAATATAGCCCCCAAGAGCACGGCCGAAGCGGCCGGCTTGTGTAAACGTCAAGTCTTCACCTTTGAAGGTAATGGTGGAGTGTCCACGCTCGGCAAAAAAAAAGAGGAGCCGATCGTATTCTGTCAGCCGCGGCACCGATGCCTCAGGACCACGAGGACGCCAGGTAGGAGGAGCCCCGGGTGTAGCAGGCTGCCTCGCCGTCGTTGAGCTCCTCGAAACCGAATCGGCCTACTGCCTTCCAGAGCAGATCACGGTGCAGGTGACTCTTGCGCAGTCCACATAGATATTCTTCCTCGGGTGGGTGGGGGCAAAGAGCTTGTAGGCGCTCTTGAGCGTGCGCGCCACGGGGTCACCCCATAGACCCAAAAGGTGCCGTTGCGCATAACACTCATACAGGATCTGATACTGGGTAAACAGCAACAGCCGCGATGAGACCAAGTCGCTCTTGGTACGTCCAAGCACGCTAGAACAGCGGGCAGGGCCCATTATCGAAGTAAGGCAAACACGGGGGGTTGGGTTGGTGTCGTAGACGTCTAGCAGCAGCGACACCTCGCCCACGTAGCGTTTTGGCGTAGACGCCCCAGCTTGGCGGCCTCGAAAGATCATGTCCAACAGGCACAGAGTCGAGGCTTCAATGTGACGCCCGCTGAGGAAGCCTCGTGTGCTATCGACGCCAAAGGTAGAGCCCAGTGTCACGTGGGCATTTGAAAAGTACTCAAACATGCGCGTGGCCTCCTTTTCCCAGTCGGTCTCGTCCTTTTGGATTACACAGATGGAAACGATCCAAATGCATTCGAGACCTAGCATGCGAGTATATTGTATGGCGTCCTTGAACGTTCGAAGTACAACAGCCCAGGGAATCCCTTTTTTGAGTGTATTTCGATGCTTTCAACCGTTGTCAGACACGGCGGCGGCTGCTTGCCCCTGACAGTGCGTCAGAGCAGCATAGCGAGTTGCTCGGCGGTAGACTGGAAGTGTCTCGAATGAGGTGTATGCCGCAATCCTCGGCATTCTCTGGAATACGTATCAATCTTTTAGGAAGAACATGCTTCTCAGACTTGTAGGCCGGAGCAGTCGTGATTATGGACGCAATCATGGATATGACCATCAGCCCAAGACAGGGGCCGCGTCTGACCTGGGTCCGTGTATGGATGCCTGCCATTCGAGTAGACTGTTGGCCCCGGCGGAGCGTCTACATTGTCGTCGTCATGGTATAGGTAGATTTTGATTCACATTGACTGCTCCCTTTGCCGACCACCAGCTCACACGAGTTGTCGAACCATATACCGGTCCCATTGAGCTTTCCTTACGAGCGCCGCACAACAGAGATTTGTCTGCGGAGGAGGACTGCTCGAGATGATTTCTGGTGATTTCGCCGTTCCCATTTTTTGGTATGGAGGCGTCATAACTAATCATGTCATCCCAACGGCCATTCCAACGGCAAGTGGCACAGTCATCACCGGAATATCGCTTTCCATCTGCCCGCCAATCCTGTGCAAGCTGCAAGGGTTCCAACTCTGGTACACTTGATCTCGCTGCAAGCCTGTCCAAATTACTCGAATCTTCATTGGATCCGGCCATGGAGTCTTGATGGACAAATCATCAAGTAGGTGAAGAAGACGGTCCCCGAGCGACAAGCTCATGAAACGGGAATGGCGATACTAATGCCGGAACTCTGTTCATCGGGGACAGGCACTTTGAGGATACCGACCTGGTTGGATGCTCGCTCTCGGTGAGTTCAGCTGAGCTGAAATTCCACTTCTCCGCTGTTGCTGCTGGTGCTGCTGCTGCTGCTGCAATAGTCCAATGGAACCTACGAAGCAATGGCGCGCTTAGATGCAGTCGGTCGTGGGCTGCAGACCTACAAATGACCAGGGTCTGGATCAATCTGGGTCATATTTGTTCAATGTCTGGACTTCAATTGTCAGAACGCGAGATTGGGGATCAGCACGTACGGGAATCAGAGGCGTCTAGATGATATGACCAGAAATACCACGCTAGACATTCAATCCTGCCAAAGAAGGACAATTATTCTCAAAAGTTTGGATGTCAAGCGAGGAGATGAAAGCCCGTGAAAGCAAGCAAGGCGTCTTGACGAGTCAACTGTCAAACCTCAATACGAAGTCAAACAAGGTATTCCCATCAGGGATTGCCCATGATAATATTATCATACCCCGGGCGTAGTTCATTAGCAGCTGTCCAATGATGGAGGGAACTCGGAGCAGTTGAGTCAGGCCGTGCAGTAAAAGAGGTCCGAATGCTGCACGTTTCGAGGTTTTGGATGACAGGTGGGAGAAACCCCGATATTATCGGTGTGCTCATTCGTACCGTTCTCCGAGTATCTGTTACTTATTCAGAGTAAATCCAGTTCTCGCTTCATGGAGGAAATGACTTGGCTCCATGGTTTCCTCAAACATGTGTAAAAGGCATCACAATATTGCACTTGTCGAACGATTAGCATATGAGATGAGGAATTCGTGAAAGCGTAAAAAAAAAAGGACCGCAAATAAAAGTCGAAACCAGGATCTTCGTGATTCGTGAAGAGCATCCTAGAGTAAATGTACACGGATTACAGTTCTTTTTTTTCTTCTCCTGTTCATCCACGCCAGCCTTGATCAATGTCCTTTCCGCATCGGTTGACAATGATCAACTTTCTTCCACTGCACCTCGGCCACGACTGCTTCCACCCCCAGGTTTCTCCATTCTCTCAAACATCACCATATAAAATTGTCGGTTGTTGTTGTTGGTTTCACAGGGAAAAAAAAAATGTCTCGCTCGGAGAGACAGCGCTTTAGTGGTGGGCAGGCTCATCGTCCTCCTCCTCGACCAACCAGTCCTCGACGACGGGGGCGGCAGTGCCGGGGGCAACAGCCTCCTGGCCCTCAACCTCGACGGCCATGGACTCGTACTCCTTCAGGCTGCTGGCGAGGTCGGCCTCCTCGGGGGACTTGGGGGTTTTGGGGACGGAGAAGGTCTGCACCTGACCGACGGAATCCGAGTCCTTGACGGGAGTGGGCTTGTAGGCCTTGAGCTCCTTCAGGTACAGCTCCTGGACAAAGTCGGCTGTGAAAGATGGGTTAGTCATGTCAGTGACCGTGGCAAGAGTTTCATGGCGGCGCAGTGCAGTGAAATCTGGAGAAAGCGGAGCGAAAGCCGAGATTGATTGATGAAGGGGGGCATTGTCGTTTGATGGAAATGTGGCAAGGTGTCGTCGTGTCTGCCGGTTTGATTTGAGTTGATTTTGTGTCCCATACTCCACCTCCTGATCGTCGAGCTTTATCCAGTTGTCGTAATCGCCCGTTATTCGTGCTCAATCGCTTTCTCCAGATCCCAGAAGTGCTCCGGTGCATGTCCATGGCAACGTACCTCGGCGCGAGACGGTCGGCGCGATGAAGCCTCTGACGGCGTTGACTCTGGCAACGCGGGTGATGGCCGAGGCGGCCGAGCGAGCAGTCTGTTTCCCGGGCGCATTCTCTGGTCAGTGGGAGGTTCTTTCTCGAGAAAAGATAAAAGTGTATCAACATACCGAAGCCCTGAGCTGAACGAGCATCTTGTCCGATGGAGTGTGGGGGAGGGGAAAATGCTCAATTGGACGGGGGAAGGGCGGAGGGGGATGGTGATAGGGAATACAAGAGGAGCGAGCTTTTGAATTGATGAGGCCTTTCGGTTATCGAAACGTTCGACAGTGGATTAGCGCACTGGATTTTCCTGGCGGCTGGCCTCTTGGTCCCAGCACCCGCTTGGCTCCGTTGTAGTCACGTGATGCCGCGAGCCAGGTGGGGAAAGCTTTTTACCGTGGTCAGTGAGGCGAGTGGAAAATGTCGGGGTTGGAGGTCCCGTCTTCTGGGTTATCAATGCTTTTTTTTTTCCCCCTTGTTATGTATTTTGAGCAGCGGGATCTGTATTTGCCTACCAAGAAAGTATAAATATTGTGAATACGTAGTAGCATTTAAAATCCGACATTCGTTGGTTTCCGGTCCCTTACAGAGACAAGAGAAAATAACATCATGACCCTTATTTCCCTTGGTCTGTTTCCGGAGCTGAGGAAGCTGAGCTACCTGCATTGCATTGGTCAGATACGCTATCCGTCCATGATGACGGTGAGGCACCCACCATCTCCCACCTGGGTGACGACATGGAAGAGCTGCTAGCTCCAAGCTGTATACATCGCGGTCAGATTACAGCTCCAGTCAGGGTCTTGCTATCATCGATCGACTGTTTATCTCATGCAGTAACACGTCCCCTTTAAGCTTTGTCTTGGACGTTTACACCCAGCACTCAGGTTCGTGTTTGATTATAGCCTAACCCAGCTTTTTAGCACAGCATACCCAGTCATTCGCATCGGGGGTCTGAGCTCTGTGCATTTCCCACGAACGATGGATGGGGACCAACTCCAGATTCAACAAGCCCGGATTGTGGGGTTTGGGCAGAGTCTCCGTCTTTCTCTCTATCCCCAGGAACCTTTAGATCAGGGTCTATCGTGCATGAGGTTTAATTTCCATCGCTTGACGATACCCGTCAACACGCTGATGCTGCTATGCGCTCGCCCTTGTGAGTCATACGCAGTAGTTTGCTTATTATGCGAGTAATTTTGTGCTTGGGTGGTTTACTAGCAAAGCATTTGACCCTCTCTTTCCCATTGCCAGAATCTCGATTGATATGCAACATAATTGCTAGGATGGTACGGGCCATGTCATATGCATCCTTTCTACTTTTGCGGATATTCCTAGTCTGTACCGTGTGCTACATGGAAACACACTCGACGCTGAACCACGAGCAGCTTTTCAAGCCCTCTGCAGGTTGTTCAAAAAAAAAAAAATTAGGTCTACTTGTGAGAAGGGCTTGTTAGATGCATAGTTGAGTAGACATGGGAGCAGCTCCCCTAGGAATTGTTGGTTCAATTGTTCCAACCGTCAATCGCCATCCATCAACTTGCTCTTGGAACATGGAAAGTCATACCACTCAAAATTGTGTCACGAAGACAGTGATGCGTTCCATGGTGACCGCCACCTTCCCCAAAAGGTTTTCACAGTGCCCTTCCCTTGGTTTGACTTGGTTTAAAAAGGTCACGATATGTGTTTTCTCCCTCTGGGGTCTCGCATGAAAGATGATATGTTGGCGTCGACTGGTCGTGGACAGCAGTGCCAAAAAGGTAGTAATAGCCATTCGTTGACAATAGCCCATTGCCTGATGAGGCTACCCATATGATATGGCAATGCCTGTTATTGCATAAACACTCATTCGACGTGCAGGAAGTAGTGGTCATAATCTATCAGGCATTCAGTGCTATCATGTAGCTGGTATCTAGAGGAAACGCCCCGGCGCCGGACGCAAATATGGATATGTTTTGAAAACACCATTTCAATCAGACGTACTCTTCTCTTGCCCTTGTATCGCCGTGCTTTTCTTGCCTTCCCTCGGCTCGTTCTCGGATGACGTCTCGCCGTCGACATCGTCTAGAATTGTTTCGCCCGTTCTCGTTAGTTGCAGGTTTGGCCGTAATACCTTGTGGTAATCGGCCCCCGAGATGCGCCGTCCTTGTTCGGCGAGGTCTGCCTCTTTGCTCATTATGGTTGACACACATCCAGAGTCGCGATGAATAGACGACTCGAGTTGAAAGCCCGAATCGCGATGCGTATACGTCGACGGTGGAGCACTGATCGGAGGGTCCTTCTTTTTGGCGCCCGATCCTCCTGATGAGATTGTGTTGTCGGTAATATCCAGGGCATTGTTCATCGGGTTTGAAGCCCGGACAACCTTGGCAATCAGATCTGCCATGTTGAGCTCGATGTGGAGTTTGAGCAGGTATACCAGAGGATGGAATTGGATATAACTATGGTTGTGTCAGCTTCGAAATGTCTGATGGAATCGGTATAGAGACAACGTACATGACACCAGTTCCAATAGACATGGAGCCAATGAGGATCACCTAGTGCCTTGTTAGTACCATCTCAGCATTTAGGCATGGGGAAACAAACATCCAAGGATATTGAGCAACAAATAATGGCCAGGTTGAATCGATATAACGGCAGATATTTGGTTAGGCCAGCAGAAATGAGATTGTGGCGTACTGTCCGGAGGAAATATACGTTCAAGCCAGCATCAACGACGGCGAATATAGCTTTTTCGGTCCTGTCCCAGATATCGTTGATGTGGATATATGTTTCGCTGATTTGCAGTCGAGCTGGCATCCATATAATAAAGACACTGATGTTGATCATGAGTACGATGAAGAAGACACTGAGCCTAAGGCGCCTGGCTAGGGACTTGTTGACCATGACCAGGGCTACTCGATTGATGATAATTTGAAGGATGCATTGCATCTGAACCACCCAGAATACCACTGCAAAAATTCCGTAAGTGAGCAAATCATCAATTCTGCGTCTTAATTTTGGGAGGCCTACGGATGAAAAAGTAAATCCAAAAGCTAGATCAGAGTCAGTTGATTGAGCTGGCTGGGAGCACACAAGATGGGGGAATACCACTCACCTGGCCGGTATGCTGCCTTTCAGGAACAGCCAGCTGATGATGGAAATCGTCACACTGGCAGTCCATTCCGACCATATCATGATTGGATAGGCTGTGAATAGCTTGCCCTTCTTGTAGGCCGAATAGGACTGGCGTGCGGCCTTGGTGGCGGAGAACATGGCACTGCAGAGACTGAAGCCCCATATGATGCTGCAGGCATGCAAGATGTTGCTCTCTAGAACCTCGTTCGTGTACCATGGCGGTACGAGTGTGCCACGGGGGGCCATGACGGCGGCGGGCGGCGCGACTCCGCCTGAGGTCGCTGTCGGTAGTTGTCCACTATAGGGCTTGTCGGATCGTTTGTTTGTGCTTGCCTTGTCGTCGTTGTGATGGGGCAGCCATACGATCGAACCCACACGTCTGTACGGCAAAAAGGCCCGGCACGATGTTCTTTGAACTCCAGATCCAAAATCCACAATATGATTGATTGTTCCAGAAATAGGACTAGGTATGGTCTTGGGGGAAAGGCCAAAGGGTGGGGCCCAAACGTTTTGTTATACTCTGACTTTCGCCTCTTCCGTGGTCTTGCCCTGATGGATGTACTTTATTTTACCTACCTACCTACACAGAGACTCGACTGGCTGGGGTTCAATGGAAACACCGGGGAGCGCGAGACGCAGACAGAACCCAGATCCGAATCGCTCACCTATGCTTTCTCCTCTCTTCCCTTCCTTGCCCAAAAGCATCTGCATGCCTGTCCCTTCTCTCTTTTACTCGCTCAACCCTGGGCCAGCACAAAAAAGCTGCCAACCCAAACTTTCCTAGCTGGCCACGACTATGCCGCGACGAACCCTGTCTCACACCCTTTGCCGGCGTCTCGGCAGCCCATTCCTACGCGCGCTATGAGGTTACCGTGCATTAGCTCGACATTATAAACTCTATTAGACCCAGGAAAACAGCTCGCTTGTCCACCTACATATACCTCCTCCATGAATCCCCCCAATCGTTCTGCGGATTTGGAATTTTTCTTGGCCAGCTATTGTGCAGACCCCGGGCCATCGAGTTTTAGTGATCGGTCAGCGGCGTTTTTATTTTCTTTCTTTTTTTTCCTTTCTTCCATTTCTCCTTCCTGATCTGAGATCTCTCCAACGGTGACCCCGTAACAATGTTTAGCTCGGCTCTCGCGCTCAAAACAATTACCTACTACTATGTACTACCAAGACTACCTATACTACCGAGCAAATGATATTGATTTCCAAGCACATTGTGCTGTTCCCGTTTCCCCGGTTAATGAGAAAGAACCCAACACATTTAGAGACAAAAGCGTTTCACATGTCATCTCAATAGGCTTAGTTTGTTTATTGCTTACCGACAATACTACGGACTATACCTGATCAATCCAGCGATCACTTTACGTTTTGGGAATATCGTGACTCGTCGCACATATTAATGCTGACAGACTGCTTTTCAGCCCTCGTCTATTCATCAATATGTATGCCATCCATCTATGCAATAGTCCTACCGGAGAGGACCTCCGAGCTATCCACCGGGTTTTCTGCTCGCACTCCCCGGCATTGACCGGCTAGAGGGTAGCGAAAGAGGCAGTGCAGAACCGTAGGCCCGAGGAAAACATTTTCTCCCTTCTATGTTTTAAGGTTCTCACTAGAGGGGAGGCCGGACGGATGACTGTAACCAACGTTGCGTCACGTGAAGCTATATGTATGAAGCTTTCAGATACGGTGTTGCCACAATAATGGGCAGAGGACAGATGAGGGTTACGTATGTGTAAATGTGTGGCTAGATGACAGCACGAATCAGAATTTGAACCTTTCCGCCCAAAACTCTTTTTCATCTTGCGGTCACTGCTATTCACGCTTCCGCCCATGTCATTTTGATGTAAATAGCATGTGGGACTTTTCTTCTTTCCCATGTTCCATGCTTGAAAATTGCATGCCGGCAAAGCCCAGAATGTCCCATGCTTTTTTCCTTGTTGGCCACCCCCTCCCCCCTGTCAACTCAGTTGATCCCGTACAAAGGTCTATACAGATGATATAGCTTAAAATGCCCGAGGCATGGTTTTACACCGAAAGATGACTTACCGACCTTGACCGAGAGAGTGGAAAGAAAATAAAGCCTACTATGTCCGGCTCAACCCGCCACAACGTCGATGACCAAATCGAGACTTGATTCGATGAAAAAGTGTATCTTGCCGTTTTACTTGCCAAGGCTTTTCGTCCTGCTTTGTTTTGTTTCTAGGCCCAGCCACCCTTTTGCCGAGGGCATTATAAGACATGGCAGTGTAAACAGATCCCAACCTTGCATTGATTTACCCAAGGTGCTGTTCCCTCCTCGGAAAAAATAATGGCCTAGAACATCTGCAGGGTATCCATGTGAGACCTGTCAACTGTCAAAATCCCCGGCTGCCAAGTCCTGCATGGGCAAAGCTGGAATTAACCCCGGACCTTACAACATCATATTTTTCAGCATGCTGCTTTTCAGAATTACGGCCCTTGACGGCCTTTTATTACTCAGTTACTTGCCAAGAGCCATATGTGTGGCCTTCTGGACACTTCTTGCAGATGGAATGCCTGCTGCTGCTCCAACCCTCTAGTCTTCACAACCAAGGAACCCCAGCTCGCTCGCTGTTTTTGCATAACACTGGACTCTCCCGAACCTTACTCATGATTCGAGACGCCCATGCCCATTCGATCGTCGTGGCTCAAAAAGCATAAAGTCAAAACGGTCTGAACTTCGCATATGCATGCGGTTAGATCCATTATACATCTTGAGAATGACGGCACGTGACCGCGACAAAAGTCAGGCTATTTCCTCGGATGATGGACGGGGACCCTGGAGGAAAGAAAATTCCAGGGTTCGCTGGGACATGACTGTAGCTCCTCTTCTCGCAAGTGCTCAAGATGCGATTGGACGAGGAAACGTGTGTCTGCTACTTGGTGGTTGCAGGACGTTGTTGCATCTCCAAGATTCTAGCACCCACCCATCAACTCACAGCTTTTAGTGGAAACCACCAGGTGGAAAGGGCGGGAGCTTCTGAGCGTCCTACCGGGGTTTGACATGTTCTAGAAAAAATCTGTGGCCATGGCTCTTTGATTACTCTATCCCACTCGGGCTCCGGATCAGAAAACGCGAGCCTATCAGAGGATTTGCGAGTTCCCTCCATTGACCCTCCTCCAGTATCTCCAATATACTCCAACACAATATTCTGTTTATCTAGGTATCTGGAGAATTACGGTCAACTCCATTCATTATTGGCCTGTTGTGTTGCGCACAATTGCCACCTCGTTGTTTGGGATATGAGAATTGATCCATATTTCGGGATTTGCGCCAACTCTGAACGAAGAATCAAGTGCTGGAATCGTCAGCAGGCGGGAACACATTCCTCCGTCATGGTGGTGGTCCTCTCAGAATCTACATGTCAGTCACGGAATTCGTGCTCAATCAAGGCGCTGGATAACTACTCATGAGACTGCTCTTGGCATAATTTACGTTGTAAAAGGCCCCGTAAGTGTCACCACAGGATAATCACCGAAGAAAAATACTGTTTCTGGATGCGGTATAGTGTTTGCCACGGCGGTAGACGAGTCGCAATTAACTTGTGTAACCAACAAAACCCCATGACTAATCCATACGACTACGCTGGTTACCACTAATTGCACCGTCTCCAAAGTCATGATATTTTAATCATTAATTTTGCCAACTGTTATGATCTAGAGCCGCAAAGTCTCTACATGGAGAGTCTACATGGTTCGCAAAACCAAATATGAAGGTGATTCGCAGCAAAATATGAAATTTATGGGGGATGGAGAAGCGATACAAAACGACCAACGATCAATCAAACCTTTTCCTTTCCAGTATCTAGAAACTAAATTCTACTATAACTGTGACATTCTTGATATCTTCAGCTGCGGCGATATTGACAGTAACCATAATGTCTGTTGTGATCAAAACATCAAACCTTTCACTGGAAGCCAGAGTTACTGTTGCTGAATAAAACATTGAGTGCAGTAAATTTCGATCATCCCATTGATCAAAGGGCTCGCTCGCAGCTTGGGAAGAAGCGCATAACATATTCAGTCGAGGTAAGACTGGCCAGTCCGTGAACGTTCCCGCGGGATCATGCTAATCCTGTACACATTGTGAGCATATAATCGGGACGTATCAAAGACGACTGGTTCGCCAATCTCGATATTCAAATCCATATTTCCATCCCAGAGGTCACCATAAATCAGGCATAGCTTCAGGTACGGATTGCCTGCTTGGAGTAGCTCCAGAAACTTAGATGTCGTCTTTGCCTTGAGCTTGTCAAAGACATCATACAACTCGTTCTGTGGACCTCGCACTTCTATCGACCATGCTCAGGCAGTAGGCATTCATTAATTGGAACTAATAACTATTTAGAATCAAGGAGTTTGAGGTTTCCAAAGTAATAGAGCACAATAAAACAGGCTCAAACTCCATTATGTTGTGTTGCACATAGTCAGTCAAGTTGCTCTATAAACCAACAACCTTGAAGCGCTAGCATTTCTTCACCCAAATTCGACAATCTTTCCAAAAAGTGAAATTCCGAGCAAGTCTGACAAAATCGCAGCCAAGGAAGCGTTCTTCTGCTACCTCTAAATTCATATTTTCTCTTTGACAGTTTGGAACCAACACGGTCAGGTTGTACTTTTGGTAGCACTAGATGCTTTTCATGTCCTCCACCTTGGTCTTGGATATTTCCATAAATCCATCCGTGCACCAGCCCATGGTAATATTCAACGCGTCCAGAGAAAGTCTTGGATTACCTCGAGTGTATTTACCAGAAAGTCTAGAATATTTGTGCAAGTCGATCCTACTATGCTACCTCAAACTTGGCCCCTAACCAATTTAGCCCAGTATGAACAACCAAGTGACCTTACCCCTGGACCCAAACCCGAACCCACTCAAGCAGTCACCCGTACATAGTGCGCGCCAAATGCTTAACGCGCCCCCCCCCAAAACGTCCAGGACAACCAGCTGACCCCTGCGCAGACTGACGCAAGAACCCCCCCACCTTGGCAACCCCGTGCTTAGCCAGTACCCGTGTAGGTGTGTACTACAGTCACCTGCCTACAGGTAGGTAGGTACCCATCTCAGCCTTATCCATTCCATCAACATAGCGATCATCAAGATATTTCTTTTTCTGGTTCATTATTGGATTTCCATCAACAACAGCTTCTTCTGTACTTGATTATACACAAAGGGCAAAAACAGAAGAGACACGCCAGAATTACGCGCACAATCAAGCAGGTAGCACAGGCAGCAGGCAGGCAGGCAGGCAGGTAGTCATGGGGTCCAACAGCGGCAGATCCCCTCTCCGGGTTCTTTGTCTGGGCGACTCCCTGACGGGCGGCTTCCCTGCCCAGCATCCATACGGCGGCAAGCTGGAGGAGCGCCTCGAGGCCGCGTTCCCGACGACGCACCACGTCGAGGTCGAGGTCGACGGCGTGCCCGGCGAAATGGTGACGGGCGGGAGGTTTGCCCGCCGCATGCGCAACCTGTGGAGAATGTACCCCGATGAGCGCGCCTTTGACTGGACCATTGTATTGGGTGGTACAAAGTAAGGAGGTCCCCAAACCAAGAGATTTGCGGATTTCTTCTTCTTTTCCCTTTTGCGAATGCTTGGGACCATAATGCCCATGTAGTGGTGTGGCTAAACCCACTAAACATGGATTCGACTAACTTTGTGGGCTCTACATAGTGATCTTGCATGGCGCCACCCGGCCAGCGAGGTTTTACAGGAACTCGAGAGAGTATGGGCAATTCCGCTATCCAAAGGGAGCAAGGTGTTGGCCTTGACAATACCCGAGTGCAAGGTCGTGAATGAGGCCCTGGACGAAGCGAGGAAGACGATCAATGACGGCATCAAGGCTTGCAACAAGCAGAACTTGTAAGTTACAGTCTTGCCCG